AAACTGCACAAACGGATAGAATACCTTCAGAGGCTACCACCTTAGTGACTGCATTCGGGGAAACCACAACTTCATCAACAATAGCTCAGCACGGAACTATGCCTGGACTGACTACCATTCCGACTGAGAGATATCCGTCAGTTGTTTCTCAAACTACCGAAACAACCGTCACTAGTACTTCTGTACCAACTGTCTATGAAGAATCAACAGTTCTAATAACTCAAACAGAACCGACTAGTCTTGAAGCTTCAAATACTACTCAAACGGATAGAATAGCTTCAGAGGCTACCACGTTAGTGACTACATCCGGGGAAACAACTATTCCATCAACAATTGCTCAGCATGGTACTAATCCTGTACTGACTACCACTCCGACAGAGCAATATCCGTCAATTGTTTCTCAAACTACCGAAACTGTCACTAGTACTACTGTACCAATTGTCACAGAAGAATTCACAGTTCTAATAACTCAAACAGAACCGACTAGTCTTGAAGCTTCAAATACTACTCAAACGGATAGAATAGCTTCAGAGGCTACCACGTTAGTGACTACATCCGGGGAAACAACTATTCCATCAACAATAACTCAGCATGGAACTATGCCTGCACTGACTACCATTCCAACAGAGAAATATCCGTCAATTATTTCTCAAACGTCCTCTTCAAATGACATAACTACTACTGCCCAAACAGCCTTCACTAGCACTTCTTTACCAACTGTCTCTAAAGAATCCACAGAACCGACTAGTCTTGAAAGTTCGAAAACTACTCAAACTGAAAGAATACTTTCAGAGGCTACTACGTTAGTGTCTGTATCCGGAGACACTACTACTCCATCAACAACAACTCAGCATGGAACTATGCCTGGACTGACTGCCATTCCGACTGAGAGATACCCGTCAGCTGTTTCTCAAACTACCCAAACAGCTTTCACTAGTACTACTGTACCAATTGTCACAGAAGAATTCACAGTTCGAATAACTCAAACAGAACCGACTAATCTTGAAACTTCGAAAACTACTAAAACTGAAAGAATACCTTCAGAGGCTAGCACGTTAGTGACTGCATCCGGAGAAACTAACACCTCATCAACACTAGCTGAGCATGGAACTATACCTGGACTGACTACCATTCCGACTGAGAGATATCCGTCAGTAGATTATCAAACGTCCTCTTCAAATGACATAACGACAACTACCCATACAGCTTTCACTAGCACTTCTTTACCAACTGTCTCTGAAGAATCCACAGTGTTTATAACTCAAACAAAACCGACTAGTCTTGAAACTTCGAAAACTACTCAAACTGAAAGGATACCTTCAGAGTCTACCACCTTAGTGACTACATCAAGGGAAACTACTACTCCATCAACAATAACTCAGCATGGAACTATGCCTGAACTGACTACCATTCCAACAGAGAAATATCCGTCAATTGTTTCTCAAACGTCCTCTTCAAATGACATAACGACACCTCCCCAAACAGCTTTCACTAGCACTTCTTTACCAACTGTCTCTGAAGAATCCACAGTGTTTATAACTCAAACAAAACCGACTAGTCTTGAAACTTCGAAAACTACTCAAACTGAAAGGATACCTTCAGAGGCTACCACGTTAGTGACAACATCCAGGGAAACTACCACTCCATCAACAATAACTCAGCATGGAACTATGCCTAAACTGACAACCATTCGAACAGAGAAATATCCATCAATAGTTTCTGAAACGTCCTCTTCAAATGACGTCACGACAACAATCCAAACAACTGTCACAGAAGAACCTTCAGAGGCTATCACCTTAGTGACTGCATCCAGGGAAACTACTACTTCATCAATAATAACTCAGCATGGAACTATGCCTGTACTGACTACCATTCCAACTGAGAAATATACGCCAATTGTTTTTCAAACGTCCTCTTCAAATGACATAACGACAACTTCCCAAACAGCTTTCACTAGCACTTCTTTACCAACTGTTTCTGAAGAATCCACAGTTCTAATAACTAAAACAGAACCGACTAATCTTGAAACTTCGAAAACTACTCAAACTGAAAGAATACCTTCAGAGGCTACCACGTTAGTGACTGCATCCGGAGAAACTACCACCTCATCAACACTAGCTGAGCATGGAACTATACCTGGACTAACTACCATTCCGACTGAGAGATATCCGTCAGTTGATTATCAAACGTCCTCTTTAAATGACATAACTACTACTGCCCAAACAGCCTTCACTAGCACCTCTGTACCAACTGTCTCTGAAGAATCCACAGAACCGACTAGTCTTAAAACATCGAAAACTTCACAAACTGAAAGAATACCTGCAGAGGCTACCACGTTAGTGGCTGCATCCGGAGACACTACTACTCCATCAACAATAACTCAGCATGAAACTATGCCTGGACTGACTGCCATTCCGACTGAGAGATATCCGTCAGTTGTTTCTCAAACTACCCAAACAGTTTTCACTAGTACTGCTGTACCAACTGTTTCTGAAGAATCCACAGTTCTAATAACTAAAACAGAACCGACTAATCTTGAAACTTCGAAAACTACTCAAACTGAAAGGATACCTTCAGAGGCTACCACCTTAGTGACTACATCAAGGGAAACTACTACTTCATCAACAATAACTCAGCAAGGTACTACTCCTGTACTGACTACCATTCGAACAAAGAAATATCCGTCAATTGTTTCGCAAACTTCCTCTTCAAATGATATAACGACAACTCCCCAAACAGCTTTCACTAGCACTTCTTTACCAACTGTCTCTGAAGAATCCACAGTTCTAATAACTCAAACAGAACCGACTAGTCTTGAAACTTCAAATACTACTCAAACCGAAAGAATACTTTCAGAGGCTACCACCTTAGTGACTGTATCCGGGGAAACTACCACTTCATCAACAATAGCTCAGCATGGAGCTATGCCCGCAGTGACTACTATTCCATCTGCTGTTACTCAAACGGCACTTCCACCTGAGACCATGAAAACAACCCAAATTACTTTTCCTAGTTCTTATGTACCAACAGTCCCTAAAGAATCCACAGTTTTAAAAGAACCAACAGCCCAAGATAATCAAGAAAACATTTCAAATGAAAAAATACCTATGCAGAGTCCCAGCGTCCCCACTGCAGTCCCAGTTTTAAAAGAAACACCTATTACAATAACGCCGAATGATCTAGGAACTACACCGGAGCCTACATACGGAATTACTTCATTGGTTGACGAATCATTTGTTAGTCAATATCCGACTACAGCTGAAGAACCTTCGAATAGCACGACCCCTTTCTTTTATACATCAATGGGTTATCCGCGCAGCACAACTACTCAAAGCGTTACAGTAACAACTATGTTAGGCTTAGGTTTTCAACAAACGACACCCATAACGGAAGGTACGCGTATTTATTTTGGTGAGCCAAATACCACAGACATGACTCGAACCGAAGAACACACAACTATTCCAACACAACTATTTCCAACTTGTATCATGACAAACGATTGTTCTGACGATGAGATATGTTTGAAAGCATTCTGCATTAGACCCTGCGAGTATTACGAAAACCTTTGTAATGCTCAGAATTATTCTGTTTGTCGTACATTGAACCACACCGCTATGTGCTATTGTGATACCGACGCAGATGTAAATAAACCCGGTTGCTCTATTAATGCAGGTAACTAAAGCTGTGTTTGTAAATGTTAAGACTTTATATCGATCCACATGTTCCTTAAAAGTGAATGAGTTGCAAAGAACCTCAGGGTTGCGGTAAAGAATCTTATTGGCATCCGAGGCTCCAACTACTTTAATCGCCAATGCATCTGGCAATACGTAGCAGCCAACTTCAATTTGATGTCATGTTGTCTTCCTATTCTTCTTTTTTTATGGACTTCTTATCATATCTCCTCCCACTTATGCCATAAATGACCAGCCGAACTTGTTGGCTGGCACGTGCATGTTTTATTCTTTTCGTTCTGTCCCTAGCAATTCAATCCCAGTGTTTTCTGTGTGCCAATAAGATGGGCATCAAAACGCTTCAAACTCTACTGCATTTGTACTTCTTCCCCCGGCTCTTATCACTGGCTCCTCTGCTGTTATTCGTATATGTATGTATATGCCTGCACTCACCACAATCACCCATCACGAAAACACCACTCGGACTAGCTCTCGAACACTATGTATGTGTTCGCTAATGGAGCAATAAATGTATTCACCAAAGTTTGAATGCCGATTAAGTAGAGATCACTCGTTCTAGTTCTTGTTCTCGTTCATGTTAGTTGCCTGCTTTACGTTTGCCTGCCTGCCTGCTGCAATTACGTGTATCATCAAGCCCTATATCATATTACGTCATATGGAATGTCCTTTGATTCCTTACGGAAAGCGATCGATGTGCATGTCATATGTCAGCGTTGTGATCACATCATCTTTGTGTTATATAAGAAAATTTGTGTTGATTTTTGTTGTATTTAGTACATATGTTTGTTTGTATATATTAATACACTTTATAGAAAATTTCACATAATCGCGTGCAGTAAGTTACTTATCTTTATATAATATGATTATTTAATTGCATGGCATGCCAGGTGGCAGTACTAATCGGTGTTGTATATGCTAATGCTTTTCTAAGAATGCACTAACCCCAAATATTCAAATATTTCTTGCTTGCTTGCCTGCATGTGTATATGTTGTTTTGCAACAGCAACAACAGCTAAACAAAATGTAACAACATTTTATATTATCTACTTATAAGCTTTATAGTATTAGATGTGCTAGAAGGTGCCTCAAGTGGCAGCATTAGAACACATATTTAAATTATAATAATTTACTAACAGTATTGAAACAACACAAGAAAAACTGCCTATCAAACAGGTTCCTTAAAGAATATAAACACTGATAATATGAATTAAACATGTTAAAACGAATGTCTTAACCGAAAGCCATACCTTATGCCTCAATTAATGCAAACAATTTACTTTACCATGGAACCTCAAATCGCACAAACAGAAATCGGTTGCGCCTCCAGCGACGAATGCCCAACACAACAAGCATGCGTGAATGCACTTTGCGTCGATCCCTGCGCCTATGAGAATCCATGCGGTCGCAGTGATGATTGTCGCGTTGTTGCTCATCAACCAGTTTGTGCCAACGGTGGGTTTTGTCACAAATTTTGGTCCCATTCAATAAAAACAATGTTTTTATTTATATTTTTCGATTTTTAGACTGCGAGTGTCAGCGCAAATCCGATTGTCGGAATGGTTTCGAATGTGATGGTTGTCACTGTCGTGACAGTAAGTACAATGGTATTTAGTCCAAATTATTAGATTGTGTTATTAAATTTAAATATTACAGCAACAGGTCGCACTCCTGGCTGTGAGCACTGCCCACCAGGCGCAAAGTGTGATCCCACAACTGGTGCTTGTATTAAAGGTATGTACGAGTTTTCAATTTTTTCCAAAATTAAGTGGTGAATTCAGCATTAATCATACTAGGCAATTCCTAAACACTAACAAGTGTAAATATAATATTGTGTATATATTTGTATTATAAAATAACTACCCTTTACCCATGTAAATATGTCTCTCTCCCTAGCTAATGTAACAATAACAACTAGTACTACCAAGAAAACCACAGTGAAACCGACAACAACAGCACAAACAACAACAACAGCTAACCCAAACACTGGTGATGATATGTTTCCAACCTTAAGCAAGGGTACCACCACTAGCACCACCATCATCACTACTAGCACAGAAACGAGCACAGTCATAGGCGCTACTAACAAAACCAGCACAAGTAAACCCACCATTGAGACTACAACCATCAAGTCGGGGCACACGAAAGGCTATCGGGATGGTGAAAACAATATAACCGATACGCCAACACCAAGACCCGTGATTACAACAACCACACTGACTAGCAAAGATGGTGGCAGGCGCACTACAACCCCGAAAATGAAGACGACTCGACTTGATACCTCAAATGAGATACCAGAGACGACAACCATGACCAGCACAACGCCTTGGCCCACGGAACTACCAACTAGAGCAGGCACAACAACGGAAATCAACGATCTAATCACGGTGTACACAACAACATCTACACCACCACCGAACACCACAGATATTACAGTTATTAACCCATGTACAGTAGATACTAACTGTGCTCCTAACGAGCACTGTAAACTGGGGCGTTGCAAACCCAAAGGTATATACATTCGTCTATACAATTGGCTATGCTGTCACTTTCGGTACCCAAAATGTTGTAATATTCTAATTTTATTTCTATTCCTTTTGTATCCTTTTGTAAATATATATAAAAATTTAAATAATTTCAATACACATGTTTAAGTACCAAAGTGACTAGTGTGCATTTCACATTCCGTAATTTTACAATATGATAGTTTCCAAAACAAGAACAAAAACCTGCCGAAGTTTAAATACCCTTGCAGACAAATTGCATTAATAGCTGTAGGCTTTACTATTTTTCAAAATTTAACTTATCTGTTTAACTCACTTCACCAATCTTATGATTGCTATATAACATAAAATACACATTTTGTTACATTTCAACAAAGTTATATTTCCATAAGGCATACATCATTTTGATGACTCTTGTATAGTTAGGTCAAAATGCCATTAGAAATGTCCAGCACTTTTGTTAGTTGCACATATTACAAAATATATCAGTATTATAACAAACAGCTTAAGAACTGATTCTGAAACTTGAATTAAAATAGCCTTTCACGACTCAGCTCTTTATGATAGTCAATTATTATGAGAGCTTGCGTCTTATAGTGAATACTTTAGGACAAACCGTCTGCAAAAAAATTAAATTGAATAATTGCTTTACATTCTGCACATAATATAACGAATATATGATATACATACCCTGTATATATGAGTACCCTCCAAAAATAAGTCTAACATATTTACATTTCAATCATAAGTTAATGAGTCAACATTAGTAATAAAATTGTTAACCAAATCAATAATTTCTAACAAGTAGAGCCACCTGGCACGCCTAAAACACCCGAGCCATGCCAATCAAACAATGATTGCATTGAAAGCGAGGCCTGTTACATGGGTTTGTGTCACGATCCCTGCGAATTTGCCAAAATTTGTGCTTCGAGTGCCAAGTGTACAGCAAAGAGTCACCGACCAATTTGCAGCTGTCCGCAGGGTCATGAAGGCAACCCAATGGTCAAGTGTGTGCCAACTCAAACTTCAAGTAAGCAACTAATTAATTAACCAACGATTTCATCAAATACATTTAACTTAATACAACTAAGAACAGTTGGTGCGGCCTTTTGAGACTGACAAGATCAATTACTCATCTTGTCTCGTATCTTTCACAGTGGAATGTACGGACAACTCAAATTGCGGAATTACGGAAGCCTGCATCAATGAGCGTTGCCAGCACCCTTGCGACGTGCATGATCCATGTGCCCAGAACGCGGTTTGTATCAATGCCAATCATGCAGCTGATTGCAGTTGCCTGGACGGCTATCAGGGCAACGGTTTTGTCGGTTGCCAGCCAGGTTAGTAGCTATAACCAGCACTTGTTGCACTTTTGCTTTCCTCAAGCTATTCAATGCTAATATGACACAAAATGTTTAATTTCCCAAAATGTCTCTCTCTTTCATACACTGTATAAATTCCCCGTACACCTGTCAACACATGTATAAAATTTGTACCGCCCTGACTCACGTACAAAAACAACACGAATCGAATTATAAATACACGAAACAACCCGCACCGTAACCTTAACCAAAACCATAGCACGCACCCACGTCTGTCAATACAACGAGGATTGTCCACCCAATAAGCTATGCGATCGCCTTAATCGACGCTGTATTAATCCTTGCCAAGAGGATTCGTGCGGCGAAAACGCCGAGTGTGTTCCGGTTAATCATGGCATCGATTGTCGCTGCTTGCCCGGATACCTAGGCAATGCGTATGTTCTATGCCAGCAGTCCCAGGGTTGTCGCTCTAATTCCGAGTGTGATGTCAGCCAGGCATGCATTAATGGCAAGTGTATATCGCCTTGTCAGTGTGGTGCCTATGCCCTGTGTGATGTCATCAATCATCGTGGCGTTTGCAAGTGCCCACCTGGATACAATGGTAATCCAGAGGTGGGTTGCAGTCCACCGCAGAATCCATGCGATCCCAACCCATGCGGTCTGAATGCGCAGTGTGAGTTGGACAACGGAAATCCCATATGCTTCTGCCCCAAAGGACTAACGGGTAACCCGTTCAAAAATTGCAGTAAGTATCTTTTGAGTTTTTTTAATTAAAAACAAATGTAAGCCATCGCTAAATCGCAGTTCCTGAGGGCGATGAATGCACACCGAATCCTTGTGGTCCCAACTCTGGCTGTCGTCGCGTCAACGGTGCTCCCGTTTGCTTCTGTTTGCCAGAATATGAAGGACAACCTCCACTCATAGCTTGTGAGTTGCCCTCAAATCCATGCGACCCCTCGCCGTGCGGGCCCAACACGCAGTGTGCAGTACTGAGCAATGGATTCTCCAAATGCACCTGCCTCCCAGGCTATGTGGAGAGTCCCAACACCATACGCGGCTGCGTGGAGCCAATCAATCCCTGTGAGCCTAATCCTTGTGGCACAGGTGCCATCTGCGACTCATCGCGCCAGCCTGTCTGCTACTGTCCGGACAACAAGATTGGAAATCCGTTCAGAATTTGCGAGAAGCCAGCGGTCTCTGTTGAGCTGTGTCAGCCCGGTCCATGTGGTCGCAATGCTGACTGCTATGTGGCCGGAAATCGCGAGGAATGCTTCTGCCGTTCGGGCTACGTTGGAGATGCTTACCTGGGCTGTATGGAACCAAGTCGCACTGTGTGTGATCCGAATCCCTGCGGGCCGAATGCCAACTGCGTTGTTGCTGGTGATGGTCAAACAGCTTGTGTGTGCCCCGAAGGTTTGTCTGGCGATCCAACATCCGTCGCCGGCTGCCATGGCTACGAATGTCAAGTGGATGCCGACTGTCCTCAGAACAAGGCCTGTATGGGCTTCCGTTGCTACGATCCGTGCCCTGGTGCCTGCGGTCAAGGGGCCAATTGCCGCGTGGAACAGCATCATCCCGTTTGTTCTTGCAATGCTGGCTTAACCGGCAATCCTGGTGTGCGCTGCTTTGCCTTGGATTTACCAAAGGCCAGCCCCTGTGTGCCTAGTCCATGTGGTTTGAACAGCGAGTGCAAATTGCTAAATAACCGCGCTGTCTGCTCATGCCTAGCTGGATATCTCGGCGATCCTCAGACCGGCTGTCAGCCGGAATGCGATATTAACTCGGACTGCGGAGAGTTTCAATCCTGCATAAATCACAAGTGCTTAGATCCTTGTGCTGGCACCATCTGCGGTATTAATGCTATTTGCAAAGTGCGTCAGCATACACCTGTTTGCCATTGTCTTGATGGCTTCGCTGGAGATGCCTTCCTGCAGTGTGTACCTGTTGGTATTTTGAAGAACATCTCACGTGATCCTTGTGCACCCTCGCCTTGTGGACCAAATGATGTGTGCTCCGTGTTTGGCGATGGTGTAGCACTATGTGATCCCTGCTTTGGACCCAATGCCCAGCAGAATCCCCGCTGTAGACCAGAATGTATTGCAAACTCAGACTGTCCCTTTGATCGTGCATGCTTGGGTCAGCGATGTTTGGATCCCTGCCCGGGCTCCTGTGGACGCAACGCTATTTGCAACGTGTACGAGCATAACCCAGTATGTGCTTGCCCTAACGGACTCTATGGCAATCCCTACGAACAATGTGCGCCACCCTCACCAATTGTACCAACACCTTCGGCTAGTTGTGCTAAGCTGCAGTGTGGTCCCAATGCCGACTGCAAACGCCAAAGTGGAGGTTTGGCATGCGTCTGTCGCAAGGGTTACTTTGGGAATCCCTACTTTGGCTGTCGACCCGAGTGCGTGCTCAACAGTGACTGTTCTGCGGACAAATCTTGTGTGAACTCCAAGTGTGTGGACGCTTGTGTCGGTGTCTGTGGCGTCAATGCCGTGTGTCGTGTCGTCAACCATGCACCAGTTTGTGTGTGCGCCGATGGTTACAGTGGTGATGCCTTCGTGGCATGCAATCCTTATTACTTGCCACCGGTGCTACCGCCTACCGATCGTCGTAATCCGTGCGAGCCCTCGCCTTGTGGCCCGAACTCGCGTTGCTTGGCTTCAGCTGACGGTTATGCCGCTTGCTCCTGTCTACCCAATTTCAAGGGTGCTCCACCAGTTTGCCAGCCAGAGTGCGTGGTCAGCTCAGAGTGTGCGCCCAACCAGGCGTGCATCAATCAACGCTGCGCCGATCCTTGCCCAGGTACTTGCGGCATTGGTGCGCGGTGTGAAGTTCTGAATCATAATCCGATTTGCTCGTGTGAGGCACTCTTTGAGGGTGATCCATTCGTGTCTTGCTCGCGCGTACCTGAACCGCAACCAGATGGCAAATCACCAGCAAATCCTTGCGTACCATCGCCGTGCGGTCCCAACTCCATATGCCAGATCAAACAGAACCGACCAGTGTGCTCGTGCGTTGCCAATTATATAGGCAGTCCCCCATACTGCCGACCCGAGTGCACGCTAAGCAGTGAATGCCCCACCGATAAGGCATGCATACAGGAAAAATGTCAGAATCCATGCGCTAACACATGTGGACACAATGCCCGCTGCACGGTAGTTGCGCACTCAGCTCATTGCAGCTGCGATGCAGGATACGAGGGCGACGCCTTCGTGGGCTGCTCCAAGGTCATAGAACAGAGTAAGTTGAAAATTTTATTTTCAATGGATATACGTAACTATCTTTATTAATCAACCACAGAACCACACGATCACATCAACCCCTGTTATCCAAATCCGTGCGCAGAGAATGCAGTGTGCACACCGCATAATGACGCCGCTCGGTGCAGCTGCATTGAGCCCTACTTTGGGGATCCATACAACACCGGCTGTCGACCAGAATGTATTTATAACTCGGAATGTCCATCGTCATTGGCCTGCATTAAGCAGCACTGTCGAAATCCTTGCACAGGCGCATGCGGTCCCAATGCCGAGTGCGGGGTGATCAACCATTTACCCACTTGCAGTTGCACGCGTGGCTTCGAGGGCGACCCCTTCGTAGGCTGCAAACGCACTCCCATTGGACCCATCAGCGTGTGTGAGCCCAACCCTTGTGGACCGAATAGTATATGCCGCACAGTTGAGGGTCATCCAACATGCAGCTGTCAGGTTGGTTACTTTGGCTCACCACCCACATGCCGCCCAGAATGTGTAGTTAGCTCAGAGTGTGCTCAGCATTTGGCATGTATTAATCAAAAGTGCGCCGATCCATGCAGTGGCACATGCGGCTTCAATGCCAAATGTCAAGTGAACAATCACAATCCCATCTGTACTTGCCCAAATGAATATGTAGGAGATCCATTCGAACAATGTGTTCCTAAACGTAAGTAATGGAAACCAAACAACTTTCAAGTCAGCTTTTACTCAACTTATGATTCTTATTACAGCGCCTGAGTCACGACCCGCTGTCAATCCCTGCCTACCAAATCCTTGTGGGCCAAATGCCATGTGCCGCGATGTGAACAATCGTGCAGAGTGCTCTTGCTTGGAGGGCATGTTCGGTGCACCACCCAACTGCCGACCCGAATGCGTTATTAACCAAGACTGCCCCTCGAATCGCGCCTGCATACGCCAGCGCTGCGAAGATCCCTGCATTGGCACTTGCGGCTTTAATGCGTTGTGTAATACACAGCATCATCAGCCCAAGTGCAGTTGTCTTGACGGTTACGAAGGCGATCCGTACACGGGTTGCAACATGCATCAAAGTGAGTACATCTTATTTCACTATTTGCAATCCATTCGACGCGGTCGGTTGCATTACTGTGATGCACCTCAACCGCCCATTTGCCTGGTTAATGTTAAATGTTTTTTTCAGTGGTATTATAGACTAAGGGCTTATGGATCTCATTTCATGCATGTTCTTTGTATTGTGTATATATCCTTTCATCACTCTTTCATCTACCTTTACCTTGTACCCACAAAAATTTGAAAATGAAACTTAGAAGCACTACTAAGCATTTTCTATGCTATAAAGAGTTTGACAGATTTGAATGTGCTTATGGCAAAATATCAAAAATGTATCATGCATGCTGATAACAGTTATTTTACAAGTCTAAATTTGAATAAAGTTCATTTTAAATGAATAATAAAAAAAAGTGCAACATATTATTAATATGCAATATATTATTAATATATTGCATTTTTTTAGTATATAATAATAAATTCGTAGACCTGGGTACAGGGTATTATCTACAGCTCAACACTCTCGACTAGATATTGTTTAGCTATTTGTTATGTATGTCAATGTCTAGCTTGTAAGTCTATTCTGTACATTTATCTATATCTTTAATTTATTATATGCATCATCAACCTGCTTGCTATTCCTATGACATGTCCATGTTTATACCAGTTGTGGTGCCCGATGTACCCACTGATCCATGCTATCCATCGCCATGTGGTGCAAATGCCATTTGTCGCGAGCGCAACGGTGCTGGCTCATGCAGATGCATTCAAAATTATTTTGGTGATCCATACATTAATTGCCAACCCGAGTGTGTGCAAAACAGCGACTGCCCCGGTAGCAAGGCTTGTATCAATATGAAGTGTCGCGATCCCTGTGCGAATGCATGCGGTTTTAATGCGGTTTGTCGCGTTACTCATCATCAACCCGTTTGCAGTTGTGAGCCAGGTTTCACAGGAAATCCATTACGCGCCTGCGTGGAGCGACCCACAAGTATGCACTCCCAACAGTGCGATATAGAGTCTCTGATTAAAAATGATCTCACATGCCTGATTGTAGATATGTACCTGCCACTGCCCAAAGATCCATGCAGACCGTCCCCCTGCGGCCTCTTTAGCACCTGTCATGTTGTTGGGAGTCGTCCAGTCTGCGCTTGCTTGCCAGATTATTTGGGCAATCCACCCAACTGCAAGCCGGAGTGTTTGACAAGTGCAGAGTGTACCTCAGATAGGGCCTGCATTAATCAGAGATGCCGCGATCCCTGCCCCGGCACCTGTGGCTACAATGCGCGCTGCCGGACAACGAATCATTCGCCCATCTGCAGCTGCTATGATGGTTATACTGGTGATCCATTCCATCAGTGCGTGCCCGAACAAAGTATGTCTTCCATAGGCCCCCTTGTTAGACAGCATCACTTAATATATTTCAACCTTGCCATGCTTGTAGAGCCAGCACCCATTCCCGATCCCATACAACCGGTTAATCCCTGCGTGCCTTCGCCCTGCGGCCCTAACTCACAGTGCCAAGTCGCAAGTAGCGGTGCCGTCTGCGCCTGTCTCAACAACTATATCGGACGTCCTCCTGCATGCCGGCCCGAATGCAGTATTAATTCTGAGTGCCCGGCTCGTATGGCCTGCATGAATGCACGCTGCGCCGATCCATGTATTGGCTCCTGTGGCAATAACGCGATCTGCCATGTCAGCTTCCACGCGCCCGTGTGCATGTGCCAACAAGGCTACACAGGAGATCCATTTTCCAGCTGCTACAAAATCTTAGAAAGTACGTCCCGTTCCTTAAACACACTTTCCCCGAACCTTTTATGTCAATGCACTCAATCATGTTGTCTGTTAACTACACAGCACCCGTAGAAACCACACAACCCTGTCGACCCAGCCCTTGTGGTCTAAACGCTCTATGTGAGGAGCGTAATCAAGCCGCAGCCTGCAAATGTTTGCCCGAATACTTTGGCGATCCTTACGTCGAATGCCGACCCGAGTGTGTGATCAACTCGGATTGCCCCAAAACGCGAGCCTGTGTCAACCAGAAGTGCGTCGATCCATGTCCGGGTATGTGCGGCCATAGTGCGCTATGTGCCGTATTTAATCACGCGCCCAACTGCGAATGCCTACCAGGCTATACAGGAAATCCCATAGTGGGCTGTCATTTAGTACCCGAATCTCCACGATGTAAGACTGACCTCATACGTTAGAAGCACGTTTAGAACAATCCTAATTAATAGCACACTCTTTAATGTGTCTAGATCCCGATCCTATTGTGCCCGAAAATCCATGTCAACCCTCACCATGCGGTTTATATAGCAACTGCCGCGCACTCAACGGTCATGCAGTCTGCTCATGCATTCCAAATTATGTGGGCGCACCACCTAACTGCCGGCCCGAATGCATGAGCAGTTCGGAATGCAGCCAGGACAAGTCCTGCATTAACGAGCGCTGCAAAGATCCTTGCCCTGGCACATGCGGGAACAATGCGCTCTGTCGCGTAGTAAATCACAATCCCATTTGCTCCTGCAGCCCCGGCTACAGTGGTGATCCTTTCGTACGCTGTCTACTCGAAGAAAGTAAGAAAACATCATTGCGTTTCTTCATAAAATACAAGCTTGCTTCGGCTCGCTTGCCTCATTTCATCTCATGCGAAGAATCATATCTGTCAACCATACTATATATATATATTAATATATATATCTATAAATCTTTCTTTCCTTTATGTACAATTTAATATGGCTTTTTGTGGTGCATGCTGTAATCATATATGGTGTATTGGTAAATGTAGAACGCCCCATCATAAGCAATCGCGTCGATCCGTGTGTGCCTTCGCCATGCGGACCCAACTCGCAGTGTAGGGTGTCGGCGGCTAATGAGCAGCCCGTCTGCTCATGCTTGCAACATTATGTGGGTAGGGCGCCAAATTGTCGGCCCGAGTGTACCTCGAACTCCGAGTGTGCTGGGAACTTAGCCTGCATCAATCTACGCTGCCAGGACCCCTGCGTGGGCACCTGCGGCATTCAAACAACCTGCCTTGTAAATAATCATAGACCAATTTGCCGTTGCCTCGATGGCTACATCGGCGATCCATTCTCTGAGTGTAGTCCACAAAGTAAGAGTTTAACAAGCTGTGAAGAGCCAATTCCTTATGTTAAATCTATGCATTTTTCCCAGTTATTGTACCGCCCGAAATTGCTGAACCCTGTAATCCCAGTCCTTGTGGTGTCAATGCTCTCTGTAAAGAGCGGAACGGCGTCGGCTCCTGCACCTGCCTGCCTGAATATAGTGGCGACCCATACACAGAGTGTCGCCCGGAGTGTGTGCTTAACAGCGACTGTTCCAAAAATCGAGCCTGCCTTAACAACAAGTGCCGAGATCCCTGTCCAGGCGTATGCGGCATTGCCGCCGAGTGTCACGTCATCAATCACTCGCCCAGCTGTAGTTGTCCATCCGGTTATACGGGCAATCCGTCACAGTACTGCCGAGAAATACCCAAATGTAGAGTATTCATAAAAAAAAACCGATAAAATCAGTCTAGTAATATTTCACCCCAATTTTATAGTGGCGCCTCCTGTGCAACCATGTCAACCATCACCATGCGGTCCCTATAGCCAGTGCCGCGAGGTGAATGGACATGCAGTCTGCTCGTGCATTGCTAACTATATTGGTGCACCGCCTGCCTGTCGTCCCGAGTGCTCGGTTAGCTCCGAGTGCTCACAAGACAAGGCGTGCATTAATCTGCGCTGTGTAGACCCATGTCCAGGCACTTGCGGTAATGAAGCCGTTTGTAAGGTGACCAACCACAATCCTATTTGCTCCTGCCCAGCTGGCTATAGTGGCGATCCGTTTGTGCGTTGCGCACCCTGGCAGCAAGAGCCCGAAGCTCCTAAATCCAATGAGAATCCTTGCGTACCAAGTCCCTGCGGTCCAAACTCGCAATGTCGCGTGGTTGACGAAACCGGCGTCTGTTCATGCTTGCCCAACTATATTGGACGTGCACCAAATTGTCGCCCGGAATGCACACAAAACTCGGAATGCCCCAGTAATCTGGCTTGTATCAACGAGCATTGCAAGGATCCATGTCCCGGCTCGTGCGGCTTTAACGCTTTTTGCAACGTGGTTAATCACTCACCAGTTTGCACCTGCGAAAGCGGCTACTCGGGCGATCCATTTGCTGGGTGCAACCCGCAACGTAAGCCTATAGCTCCGTCGAGTTCTCCCTGAAAGAAGTTCTAATTTCTTGTCTGCTATGTATGACCCTTAGCTATCGCCACGCCTGAAGAACATTTAACACCCTGCGCACCTACACCTTGCGGTCCGAATGCGGAGTGTCGAGAGCGCAATGGGGCTGGCTCCTGTACGTGCCTACCAGAATATTTTGGTGATCCGTACAGTGGCTGCCGTCCGGAGTGCGTAGTGAACAGCGACTGCTCACGTGAAAGATCTTGCATCAATCAGAAATGCGTGGACCCTTGTCCGGGTGTTTGTGGCTTAAACGCGGAGTGTCGCGTGTCTAATCACTTGCCCAGCTGCCTCTGCTTAGCTGGTTATACTGGAAACCCATCGAGTGCATGTCGTGAAATACCAAAACTACCTGAACCACGTAGGTTTACAGACCAATCAAGGATCTTGCACAGAACTTACATCTTACCCTTTACCACTCCTAGCTGTAATCAATGAAAATCCCTGCGTGCCTTCACCCTGCGGTCCGTACAGTCAATGTCGCGAAATAAACAACCATGCCGTCTGCTCCTGTCAGCCCGGTATCATTGGCTCTGCACCCAACTGTAGGCCCGAATGCATTGTTAGCTCGGATTGCGCACAAGATCTTAACTGTCAAAATCAGAAGTGCGTCGATCCCTGCCCCGGCACTTGCGGCATTGAAGCGCGTTGCCAGGTTATTAACCACTATCCTGCATGTTCCTGTGCACCAGGCTATACTGGAGATCCCTTCAATCGATGCACTCGCGTTCTATGTAAGCATGAGTAGCACAAACTGATGTTTAAGCCAGTTGGACAGTGAGTGATAGGGTTAAAGTTAAATTTGTGTATATTCCTGTCCAGCTGGCGGAGGCTATCTGTTTCTTTCCTGCATGTATATAAATCCTTCACCTTAATGTTCTTTATTTTTTCTAATTTATGTTTTGATTTTATGTACACTCTACCAATTACTCTACACTATCTGAATTTCCCAACTATACTATGTGCATGTGTATATGTGTTTGTGTATCCACCTACTTCAACTATCTGGCATGTCTGGCTTGGCTTGGCTATGTAGTGGAACCAACACCCAAAGAATCTGGTAATCCCTGTGTGCCCTCACCCTGCGGACCAAACTCCAAATGCGTCGATGTGCGCGGTACACCTGCATGCTCCTGCCTACCCGACTATCTCGGACGGCCACCCAACTGCCGACCCGAGTGCATGTCTAGTCCCGATTGTCCAGCCAACTTGGCCTGCGTTAATCAGCGCTGTGCTAACCCATGTATCGGTGCATGCGGGATACACTCACAGTGTACCGTTATCAAGCATAATCCGAACTGCCAATGCGAGCTTGGTTACACCGGAGATCCCTTCTCAGGCTGTGCTATTATACAACAAAGTATAAATCATTCTAGTCTTTATGCAACCCATATTTCTAATATATATTTGCATTATTTTGTCCACATTTATTTACTATAGTCACGCCAACGGAAGCTCCTCGTAATCCATGTAATCCGAGCCCATGTGGTGCCAATGCTATCTGTCGTGAACGCACCGGTGCCGGCTCCTGTGCATGCTTGCCTGAGTACTTTGGTGATCCGTACAGTGGTTGTCGACCGGAATGTGTACAAAATGCCGATTGCGATCGATCACGTGCCTGCATCAACAACAAATGCCAGGATCCCTGCCCCGGTGCCTGTGGCATCAATGCTGAATGTCGCGTATTAAACCATGCACCCAATTGCATGTGCTTCGATGGTTACACAGGCGATCCACATCGTTCATGCGCACTTACTGAAGTCGTTACCCGGCGTCCGGAGAATCCTTGCCAGCCTTCACCATGTGGACCCAATAGTCAGTGTCATGAAACTAACAGCCATGCGGTGTGCAGCTGCCTGGAAGGTTACATTGGAGCACCACCCAGCTGTAAACCCGAATGTGTGGTCAGCTCTGAGTGCGCACAAAATCGTGCCTGTATCAATCAGAAATGCGCCGATCCCTGTCGCGGCGCTTGCGGAGATAATGCCAAATGCCAAGTGGTTAACCACAACCCCATCTGCAGCTGCGTGCCAGGCATGACCGGTGACCCAATCTCGGGATGTGTAACTGATGTGGGAAAAAGTACCGAGAATCCATGTGTACCCTCACCTTGTGGTCCGAACTCAATTTGCCGTGAGATTGGACAGCAGGCAGCCTGCTCCTGCCAGGCGAACTATATTGGACGTCCGCCCAGCTGTCGACCAGAGTGCACTAACAACGATGAATGTCAAAATCATCTGTCCTGCCAACAGGAACGTTGCATTGATCCTTGTCCCGGCTCATGCGGCAGCAACGCCGTCTGTCAGGTTGTCCAACACAATGCGGTTTGCTCCTGCGCCGATGGCTACGAGGGTGATCCTCTTTTTGGTTGTCAGCTCATTGCTCCAGTACTGCCTACTCAACTACCCACATCACCCTGCGAGCCCTCGCCCTGTGGTCCACACGCAGAGTGCCGAGAACGCAATGGTGCCGGCGCGTGCTATTGTCACGATGGCTTTGAGGGCAATCCCTACGATGCTCAGCGAGGATGCCGTCGCGAATGCGAAACCAACGATGACTGTAGTCTAGCACAGGCATGCGTGCGCTTTAAATGCATTGATCCGTGCGCTAACATGTGCGGAGAGTATGCCATATGTACCGTAGATAACCATGTGCCCACCTGCAATTGCCCGGCGGGCTATAGCGGTGATCCGTTCTTTAGCTGTCGACAAGTACCGGTTACACCTCCGCCGCCAGTAAATCCCTGCGTGCCATCGCCATGCGGTCCGAACAGCAATTGCCGCAGTATCAACAACCAAGCGGTGTGCTCTTGCCAATCAGGCTTTATCAGCCAACCACCAAACTGCCGACCCGAGTGCGTTGTCAGCGCAGAATGCGCCTCAGAGCGTGCCTGTGTAAACAATAAATGCGTAGACCCCTGCCTCCACACGTGCGGAATACGTGCCATCTGCAGCACGAAGAACCACAGCCCTATTTGCACATGTCCACGCGGTATGACTGGTGATCCCTTCGTGCAATGTTCCAAAATACGTAAGTATTCAACGGAATTTTATGAAAATTCTTAAAACTAACACTTGACCCTTTGCAGCGATTACGCACGATGTGACCACACCTGAACCGCCTGCACCTTCCTGTGTGCCCTCACCTTGCGGCCCAAACTCTAAGTGCCAAGTTGTTGGCGGTAGTCCGGCCTGCTCTTGCCTACCAGACTTTATTGGCGCTCCACCGCGTTGTCGACCTGAGTGTGTGCTGAACTCGGAATGTGGATCCACTGAGGCGTGCATCAATCAGAAGTGTCGCGACCCTTGCCCAGGCTCCTGCGGATTTGAGGCCAAATGTCATGTACTTAATCATCTACCAATTTGTAACTGCATCGACGGCTTCACTGGTGATCCGTTTGTACGCTGCAGCAAACTGCCAGAAGTAAAGGTTGTACCGCGACCCGATGATCCATGCAGTCCCAACCCCTGTGGACCGAATGCCGACTGCTTTGGCGGTGAGTGTCGCTGTCAGAATAATTATCAGGGTAATCCCTACGAGGGTTGTCGCCCCGAATGCACACTGTCTTCGGATTGTTCCCGGGATAAGGCTTGCATGCGCAACAAATGCGTGGATCCCTGCCCAGGAACCTGCGGAAATAATGCTGTCTGCGAGGTTATGAATCACATACCCGTCTGCTCATGCCAACAAGGCTATGAGGGTGATCCGTTCACCAACTGCCGTCCAAAAACTATTGAAACTACGCCGGAGATCAAAGCCTGCTCGCCCTCACCCTGTGGTGCTAATAGTCAGTGTCGCGATGTTAATGGACATGCGGTCTGCTCATGCCTGGAAGGCTTCATTGGAGCACCACCTCAATGCCGACCTGAATGCGTCGTGTCTAGTGAGTGCTCAGCAGTGCAAGCGTGTGTCAACCGGAAGTGCGTGGATCCCTGCGCTGGAGCATGTGGCATTGAAGCACGCTGTGAGGTTATTAATCACAGTCCTATATGTGGCTGTCCACCAGGCACTACTGGTGATCCATTTAAGGGCTGCACTGAAATACCCACACAAAAGGACGTAGATCAAGAGCAACCTCCAAGTGATCCATGCGTGCCATCCCCCTGCGGACCCAACTCAATATGTAAAGCCGATGATAAGGGACCTGTATGCCAATGTCTTCCCGAGTATTTTGGATCACCACCCAACTGCCGTGTAGAATGCATCATCAATCCAGATTGCCCCTCCACACAGGCCTGCATAAACAACAAGTGTCGCGATCCCTGTCCAGGCTCCTGTGGCACTAATTCCGAGTGCCGCGTTATCGGCCACTCCGTTTCCTGCTCATGCCCGCCTGGTTATGCCGGCAATGCTTTTGTACAGTGCGTGTTGCAGCGTGAGGAGCAGCCGAAACCATGTGAGCCTTCACCATGTGGTGCAAATGCCGAATGCATCGAGCGCAATGGCGCCGCAGCCTGCAAGTGTATTGACGAGTATCAGGGCAATCCCTATGATGGCTGTCGACCAGAGTGCGTGCTTAGCTCAGACTGTCCCACGGACAAGGCTTGTATAAGGAATAAATGTCAAGATCCCTGCCCCGGCATTTGCGGATCAAACGCTCAATGCTATGCGCTCAACCATGTGCCAAATTGCGTTTGCAACGATGGATACACTGGCGATCCGTTCTCCAATTGTCGACGCGTCGAACCAACAATACCAGCACCAGTTGGTGACCCGTGCAGCCCTTCGCCATGCGGCGCTAACAGCAAGTGCCGTTTGTCCAATGGATTGGCCGTATGCTCCTGCTTGGAGACATTCATTGGCGCACCGCCCAATTGTAAACCAGAGTGTACAGTAAATGCCGAGTGTCCACAGAATAAGGCGTGCCATAAGTTCCGCTGCGCCAATCCGTGCGCCGGCACTTGCGGCATCAATGCCAAGTGTGAGGTGATCAACCATAATCCCATCTGCAGCTGTCCGCAAGACATGACTGGTGATCCGTTCGCTCGCTGTTATCCAGCACCTGAAGTTGCCGAGCCCAAGGACACCCCCAAGGAAAAGAATCCATGCCAGCCCTCACCCTGCGGCCTCTATTCCGAATGCCGTGCGCGAGGCGACCAGGCATCCTGCTCCTGTCTGCCAAACTACATTGGAGCACCTCCCAACTGCCGGCCAGAGTGCATTGTGAATACAGATTGCGCCTCAGATCGTACCTGCATTGCAGAAAAGTGCCGCAATCCATGTGAGGGCTCCTGCGGTATCAACTCTGAGTGTCGGATACAAAATCATCTGGCTATATGCACGTGCCGCGATGGCTTTACTGGCGACCCGTTTGTGCAATGTGTTGAGGTTATTGAAAAAACAACACAGCCACAAGTACCATCACAGGATCCATGTGACCTGCAGCCATGCGGTGCCAACGCCGAATGCCGCAACGGCATTTGCAGCTGCCTGCCTGAATACCAGGGTGATCCATATAGCGGCTGTCGTCCAGAATGCACACTCAGTACCGATTGCTCACCAAACAAAGCTTGCCTGAACAGAAAATGCGTTGATCCATGCCCCGGCACCTGTGGCCAGAACTCACAATGTGATGTCTCAAATCACATACCTATATGTAGCTGTTTGCAAGGGTACACGGGCGATCCATTTGTCCACTGTCGCCAAGAGACTCCTGTGGCCAAGGATCCATGCCAACCAAATCCGTGCGGACCCAATAGCTTATGCCATGTCTCTGCCCAGGGTGCTGTCTGTGCCTGCCAGCCGGGCATGTTGGGCTCACCACCAGCGTGCAAGCCCGAGTGCATTGTTAGCTCAGAGTGTTCGCTGCAAACAGCTTGCATACAGAAGAAGTGCGTTGATCCCTGTCCTGGAGCTTGCGGCCAGTTTGCGCGCTGCCAAGTGATTAATCATAATCCGTCTTGCTCTTGCAATACGGGCTATACGGGTGATCCATTCACTCGCTGCTACCAGGAAGAACGCAAACCCACGCCAGTGAGTCCGAGCAATCCTTGCGTACCATCACCATGTGGACCGAATTCGGAGTGCAAGGAGTTGAATGGAAATCCAGCTTGCTCGTGCGCAGCTACATTTATTGGCACTCCGCCAAACTGCCGACCGGAGTGCACCATCAATCCAGAATGTTCACCCACTAAAGCATGCATACGGCAGAAGTGTGCCGACCCTTGTGTGGGCGCCTGCGGATTAAATGCCCGCTGCAACGTGGCCAATCATCAAACCATTTGCACATGCGATGTAGGCTACACTGGAGATCCTTTCACGGGCTGCCAACCGGAACAAGGTAGGAAACCGTTTTTATTTATTACACACACAATATAGTTGTTAGGTCAAGGCGTAAACTTGCTTGGTTTTGGTTGCTTTAATGGACGTCTATCGCCCACCTACTTGTATACCTGCTTAATAGTCACAGCTTTACTGAAGATTCACTGCAATTACATGTATTCGCAACTGTTTACGCCTTAATAGAGAAAGCTGAATGTGAAACTGACACCCACCCAGTGCTTCTTAAAATAAATCAAATTAATCATATACAATTATTGTTATTATAAATCTCCCCTGATCTCAAGTGATACATGTTATACCCATACGACCCATCAGTTTCACATTCGTTAAATGCGCATTAGAATTATTGGCAAAGGTGTTTTTGATGTGTTTAGTGATGAAATTGGAGTTGTTTCAATTACACTGACTGTTTGATTTAAGTTTCTTCTAAATAAAATAAAGTAAAATTACAGATCCTGTAATATAAATATAATTTGTCCGTCAGTCTTGATTGTTGACCGCCTATATGATCAAAGAAATTTAGGAAGTAAGAGGCATATAAACAATATCAAATATCAAAACCAAACTAAAAGAAGAACTAAATGGGTAATATATACAGCTTCGACTGATTTCTTCGACTATTTCTCTTAGACTTTTTAATTTTTCTGCGAACATTTATTTTGAATATTAACTTTTTTAAAATTAACGTGCCAAATGTTAGAAATTGTAACATGCTCATGCATCGAGCAACCTCGCTTTATATATGTTTTAGCACTAATTACGTGTATTTCACAACCAACGTGCACCGAATCACTTTACACACTCACAACTTGTTCTAATGCGCTTAGTTATTGAGATATTTACACAAACAATTTACACGAATTTGCATTACAATTTTTGGCTATCGCACACACACGCACAATGCATTGCAAAAGAAGTGTTTTCAAAATACTCAAAGTATTCCACCTATTTATCAACACTTGAGCAAAATGCGATTTTAAATCTACACAGTTCTGTACGAGTTGTCTGAACTGTTGTTGGCTTTGGAAGTGTTTGTGTGTGGCAGTAGTCAACATATTTAATTAATTTAAGATATTATTTTGATATTTTGATATTATATTATATTTGCTTTTAAACGCCCTTAACGCCTGAACACAATATGCAAACTTGCCTCGCCTTTTTGTTGCCTTATATATATCTGCCTCAGTCGACCGCCTTGAGCAGACCTAACCCTTGACTTTGTTATTTTAATGCTTTGGAAAGTAATATTTTGATCCAGTTTTTCGAATCAATGTTGAACCCATGAAATGCTTATACTTATTTGTTTTGCTTGGCCCAAAATCGTACAAATCCACAACCTAACCTCTGAATTATGGACCCTAACCCCAATTGGAAACTCTAAAAATACCCAAAAATTCTCCCAAATTGAGTACTGCGTTGCTATCGACCAAAGTGTTTTGCCTTTTTTACCTTAATTGTAACAACGGTTCGCCAAAGGACTATAAACAATTACAAAAACATGAAACTAATCAGCGCATAATGATTATTAGCAATTAGTTATTATATGAATAAGTACTTAGATCTATAACTCTGTAGTGCCAAATATTTAATTTAATTAACAAATGCAATAAATCGATGAATATAAGATGACACGAAACACTTGTTTTAATTACGTCATGCCACGTATGAAAACAAAATATTCATTTTACGTTATGCAACACTGCACAAAACCACTGCGCACAGCATCACAATACGCAACGCACAGCGTTTAACAGCACTAAAAACTAAACCTAACGCGCCGAAAGCACTTTAAGTGAGAAATTTAAAAATATTAATTGAAGAAAACCAACACCTAATCCGTGCTCTAATCCCACCGCCAAAAACCAAAACCCCGATTGGACTAATAAATTGCAAACTGCTTAAGCTAAAGGCACTGCCAGGTGTGTTCGTTCGTACTAAAATTGAAATACTAAGGAACAACTATTAAAGTTTTTGCCAAAACTCTCTTCTCTTCCAACCTCTTTATCTGTAACAATCTTTCCCGAGAACAGAACGGATAGTCAATGAACAGGTCACACCCTGCGAACCAAATCCTTGTGGATCGAACGCCGTCTGTCGTGAGCGCAATGGAATTGGCTCTTGTCAGTGCCTTCCCGATTACTTTGGCGATCCCTATCAGTCCTGTCGACCTGAATGCGTACGTAATTCCGACTGTCCATCGAATAAGGCGTGTCAACAACAGAAGTGTCGCGATCCCTGCCCTGGCACTTGTGGCACAAATGCCGACTGCCGGGTAACGAACCACCTTCCTACGTGCACATGTCGCAGCGGTTACACTGGTGATCCGTATCGTTACTGCCATGTGGAACCAGTTCAACGTAAGCCCCACCTAACTCAGCACCTGAAAAACAACTACAAGATACCCTTTACAGCTATACGTCTGGCCGAACCCACTCAACCCTGTCGTCCCTCACCATGTGGTCCCAACTCCCAGTGCCGCGAGCTAAATGGCCAAGCGGTTTGCTCCTGTCTTGAGCTCTACATCGGTTTGCCACCGAACTGTCGACCCGAGTGTGTGTTGAGCACTGAGTGCCCCACCGAAAAAGCATGCGTTAGTCAACGCTGTCAGGATCCTTGTCCGGGCACATGCGGCATCAATGCCGAATGCCGCGTTCATAATCACAGTCCTCTTTGTCAGTGTCGTCGCGGTTTCACGGGCGATCCTTTTACACGTTGTTATACCCTGCCACGTAAGCAAACTAGTCCTATCCCAAATAGATTATATCATAGCGATATTGATTTTCCCAACCCAGCACCCACCCCGGCCATTGACCGCGTTGAACGTGATCCTTGTGTGCCGACGCCCTGTGGCCTTAATAGCCAATGCCGCAATGTACAAGGCGTTCCATCCTGCACATGTCTACTAGAATACATTGGCACACCGCCAAACTGTCGACCAGAATGTACTATTAGTGCAGAGTGCGCCTCGAACATGGCGTGTATACGCGAAAAGTGTATAGATCCCTGCCCTGGGTCTTGCGGCTTTGGAGCGGATTGCAGTGTCATCAGCCATACACCGATATGTACTTGTCCTTTAGGTTATACAGGTGATCCGTTTAGCAGTTGTCGTCTGGCACCACCAGAACCCGTGATAAGTGAGTTTCCCATTCAAATACCAAAGGTCAAGTATCTCTAACTCGTTATAATCTCTAGACGAATATGTTGACCGTTGTCAACCTTCACCGTGTGGTCCAAATGCCCAGTGTAACGACGGTATCTGTAATTGTTTGCCCGAGTTCCATGGTGATCCGTATACCGGTTGCCGTCCGGAATGTGTGCTTAACTCTGATTGTCCGCGCGATAAGGCCTGTCTGCGCAACAAATGCTCTAATCCATGCCCGGGCACTTGCGGCGAGAATGCCATTTGCGATGTCATTAATCACATACCCATGTGCAGGTGCCCCGATGGTACAACTGGCAGCGCCTTTATACGTTGCACGCCCGTTCCGAGTACGTCGATGTGGAGAACTATTTCTGCCTTTCTTACTAATATTCGACATTCGTCTACAGAAAATGTTATCACCACCAATCCTTGCCAGCCGTCGCCCTGTGGTCCAAACTCTCAGTGCCGCGAAGTCAACCAGCAAGCTGTGTGCTCCTGTTTGCCAAGCTACATTGGTGCCCCACCCACCTGTAGGCCCGAATGTACCTCTAATGCCGAATGCGCGCCTACCCAAGCGTGTCTCAATCAGCTTTGTGGAGACCCATGTCCTGGTACTTGCGGGGTGGGCGCCAACTGTGCTGTTGTCAATCACAGTCCCTTCTGCACTTGTCCTACCCGCTTCACTGGCAATCCCTTCATACGTTGTCAACCCCAAAGTAAGGGCATTTTCTAAGAAATCTTTGAAAAATACTTCTATAATAAGCCATTCTTAGTTGAACCTGTACGTGACATTCAGCCAACTGATCCATGCCGGCCATCACCCTGTGGCCCCTACGCTCAATGTCGTACCATTGGCGACGCGCCCGCTTGTTCCTGTCTCGAAACCTATATAGGACGTCCACCGAACTGCCGACCAGAGTGCGTCACCAGCTCAGACTGCAGCAGTCAACTGGCCTGCATAAGCCAGAAGTGTGCAGATCCTTGTCCAGGGCGCTGTGGCTTGAATGCTGATTGTCGGGTAGTCAGCCATGTGGTGCAATGCATCTGCCAGCAAGGTTTCACTGGGGATCCCTTCGTCCAGTGCAGTCCAGCAATTGAACGCGATATCGAAGTGCGTACACCCTGCAGCCCCAGTCCCTGTGGAGCAAATGCCATTTGTCGCGAGCGTGACGGAGCTGGATCTTGCCAATGTCTGCCGGAATACTTTGGCAATCCCTACGATGGTTGTCGACCCGAGTGTATGCTAGACTCTGATTGCGCATCGAATCGTGCCTGCCTGCAGCAAAAGTGTCAGGATCCTTGCCCCGGTACCTGTGGGCAAAACGCCGCCTGTCAGGTTATTAACCATCTGCCATCCTGTAATTGTCTACCCGGGTACATAGGGGATCCCTATCAACGTTGTACACGTCCTGTCGAACGTAAGCAATCACATACATGTCCAATTGGCACTCTTAACCATTGCACATATATATTCGCTGTAGCTATACGTAACGAATACACGAATCCGTGTGAGCCCACGCCGTGCGGTCCTAACTCACAGTGTCGCGTTACAAATGAGCAGGCCGTCTGCTCGTGTCTGCCCCAGTTCATTGGCGCCCCACCTGCCTGCCGACCCGAGTGCACAATCTCATCGGAATGTACTGTTGATAAGGCCTGTCTGAATCAGAAATGTGTCAATCCCTGCGTGGCCAATACCTGCGGCAGCAATGCGATGTGCCGTGTACGCAATCACAGTCCTATCTGCACTTGTGTCAGTGGCTTCACAGGCGATGCCTTTACAAAATGCTTCCCAATGCCACGTAAGCCAAGTTATCTAATACTCGATAGCTGAACTCTACCCAAATCTATTCGTGTCCTGCAGCGCCGCCAATTGAAGTACAACATGAACCGTTGCGTGATCCTTGCGTGCCTACACCCTGCGGCCCGCACTCTGAGTGTCGCAACATTAATGGAATTCCAGCATGTTCCTGCCTAGCAACGTTTATTGGTCAGGCACCAAATTGTCATCCAGAATGTATCATTAATTCGGAATGTCCTAGCCAGCAGGCATGCATTAATCAGAAATGTCGCGATCCCTGCCCAGGTGCATGTGGCTTAAATGCCATTTGTAGCGTAATAAACCATACGCCACTCTGTGCCTGCAGCGAGGGTTACATTGGTAATCCATTCACTACCTGCAATCTCAAGCCACCAGAACGTAGGTGTTTAGTTTGTACCCCAATATATTCCAACATGACACTTTTCACCGTTTTGCAGCAACTTTGCCACCTATAAGGGACGATCCGTGCAACCCATCACCGTGTGGTGCTAATGCCCAATGCAACGGTGGTAAATGCACATGCATAGCCGAATACCAAGGTGATCCAAATGTCGGCTGTCGCCCGGAATGTGTTCTCAATACAGACTGTCCCCATAATCGTGCTTGCATACGAAATAAGTGCATTGATCCCTGCCCTGGTACTTGCGGAATAAATGCGATTTGCGAGGTGAACAATCATGTGCCTATTTGTCGCTGTCCAGATCAAATGTCAGGCAATGCATTCTTTGAATGCCGCCCTGTACCAGCACCAGCGCAACAGAATCCCTGCCAACCTTCACCATGTGGACCCAACAGCCAGTGCCGTGTGGTGCAACAGACCGCTGTCTGCTCTTGCCTGGTCGACTATGTCGGCAGTCCGCCACAATGTCGACCAGAATGTGTTACCAACTCGGATTGCGCGGCCAATCAAGCTTGTCAAAATATGAAGTGTCGTGATCCCTGTCCCGGCACCTGCGGCTTTAATGCTCTATGCAATGTGGTAAATCACAGCCCCTTCTGCAGTTGCCCCACGGGTATGTCGGGCAATCCTTTTGTGCGATGTGAACAGATTAGTAAGCCACTTCTAAATGTAAGCAACTTGCCAGAGATACAACAACAACTCTTTACAGTAGTTCCGCAACGTGATGTTACGCCACAAAATCCGTGTCAACCGTCACCCTGTGGCCCCAACTCTGAATGCCGTGTCTCAGGTGATTCCCCATCTTGCTCTTGCCTGCCCGAATTTTCGGGTGCTCCACCAAATTGCCGACCAGAATGCATATCCAACTCGGAGTGCGCCACCAACCAAGCCTGCGTCAATCAGAAATGCGTAGACCCTTGCCCAGGACTTTGTGGTCTTAACGCGAATTGTCGTGTTTTCAGCCATACGGCCATGTGCCTGTGTGATAGAGGGTTCACAGGTGATCCATTTGCCCAGTGCAATGCCATTATTGAAGCAACAGTCGAGCAGATACAGCCCTGCAATCCGAGTCCTTGCGGCGTCAATGCAAAGTGTGAGGAACGTGGCGGTGCTGGCTCTTGTCAGTGTCTACCTGAATACTTTGGCAATCCCTACGAGGGCTGCCGACCAGAGTGTGTGCTCAACTCAGACTGTCCATCAAATAGAGTTTGTCAGCAACAAAAGTGCCGTGATCCCTGCCCAGGCACATGTGGCCAGAATGCCGAGTGCCAAGTTATTAACCACTTGGCCACTTGCAATTGTCTAAACGGGTACACTGGCGATCCCTATAGTTCCTGCCGCATTGTAGAAAACGAACCACGTAAGACTGTCCTGATGACCAAAACTATGGAGCGAAATGCTTACACAACATTTCTTACAGCCGAACTTGTCTATGTGAATCCCTGTCAACCATCACCCTGCGGTCCCAATTCGCGTTGCCGCGAAGTCAACACGCAAGCGGTCTGCTCCTGTCTAACGGAATTTGTTGGCAGCCCACCCGCCTGTCGGCCTGAATGCACTAGTAGCTCCGAATGCGCAGCTGATAAGGCTTGTGTTAATCGCAAATGCGTTGACCCGTGCCCTAATGTCTGTGGCCAACAGGCTGAGTGCCGTGTTCGAAACCACAGTCCCATCTGCACCTGCCTAAATGGATTTACAGGCGACGCCTTTACTCGTTGCTATAGAATGCCGCGTAAGCCAATGAATACAAATGAAGTCGCAATGGAATCTGACTGACTATTGAATGATATTTTTAGCTCCATCTGTTGTGGCAATTGAACGTGAGCCTCTTGATCCTTGTGTCCCCTCGCCTTGTGGTGCCAACTCCCAATGTCGTGACATTTATGGAACACCATTGTGTTCCTGCCTGCCCAATTATCTGGGCACGCCACCTAACTGCCGACCCGAGTGTTCCATCAATGCTGAATGTCCGAGTCATCAGGCATGCATCAATCAAAAGTGTCGCGATCCTTGCCCCGGCTCCTGCGGGCTTAACACACAGTGCAATGTAATCAACCACACTCCAATTTGTAGTTGTTTAGTGGGTTATACCGGTGATCCATTTATTGTTTGCAATCCAGAGCCGCCTCAAAAAAGTAAGAACTATGTTTAGATTACACTCAATAGCAAAAACTAATCCTCAGTTTACATAATAGTTGAAGTCCCGCCTGCACCTCAAGACCCATGCAATCCCTCGCCATGTGGTGCTAATGCCCAGTGTCATAACGGTCAATGCACCTGCATATCTGAATACCACGGAGATCCTTTTGTCAGCTGTCGTCCGGAATGTGTTCTCCACGCGGATTGTGCCCGCAATCTCGCTTGTGTGCGTCATACGTGTGTTGATCCTTGTCCCGGCACTTGTGCGTCTACTGCCATTTGCGAAGTGCTCAACCACATACCCAACTGCCGCTGTCCCGATGGCATGGAAGGCAATGCTTTTGTAGCGTGCAACCCCGTGAAACGTAAGCCATCAGCAATATGCGGTTGTACCTGTTTCCAGTTCGACTATACAGTGTTTAACCTTTTGTAGAACTCGACGTCGTGCACAACCCATGTCAGCCATCACCTTGTGGACCAAATTCTCAGTGTCGAGTGATAAATCAACAAGCCATCTGCTCTTGCATTACGTCTTTCATCGGCAGTCCACCATTCTGTCGACCCGAATGCACATCAAACTCAGAATGCCCCTTAAATTTGGCGTGTCTCAATCAAAAGTGCAGTGATCCATGTCCTGGTGTTTGCGGCCGCAATGCCCAATGCCATGTGACGAACCACAGTCCATTCTGTCGTTGCCTGGATCACTATACTGGCAATCCGTTTGTTAGCTGTCAACCGATTATCGAGCCCCCAGCGCCGCCACCGCGACATGCCTGCCAACCTTCACCCTGTGGACCTTACGCCGAATGCCGCGAGATAAACGAGACACCCTCATGTACCTGCTTGCCCGACTACAGCGGCACACCGCCCAACTGCCGTCCAGAGTGTGTGACTAGTTCGGAGTGTCCAACACATCAGGCTTGCATAAAGCAGAAGTGTCGGGATCCATGTCCTGGCCTGTGTGGGCAAGCGGCTGTGTGCCGCGTGCTATCACATACTCCGAGTTGCTTTTGTCCTGACAATCTGGACGGTGATCCCTTCGTGCAGTGTGTGGAGAAAAAAATTCACCAGTTGGATCAGTTGGACCCATGCAACCCTAGTCCTTGTGGAATAAATGCTCGTTGCACATCACGACAAGATGCTGGCTCATGTCAGTGTCTTGAGGGATTTTTCGGCAATCCTTACGAAGGATGCCGACCTGAATGTGTGCTCGACTCCGATTGTCCGTCGAACCTTGCCTGCCAACAACAGAAGTGTCAAGATCCCTGCCCCGGTACCTGTGGCCCCAGTGCAGTGTGCAATGTGCTCAATCATGTGCCCAGCTGCAGCTGTTTAACTGGCTACAGTGGTGACCCATATCGCCTGTGTCAACAGGATCGTCAACGTAAGGATACTCAAACCCCAGCAATTGAAACAATATAGACATCGATGTCTATTGCTTTCCTTTATAGCCATCAAGCAGTATGTGAATCCCTGCCAGCCCTCACCCTGCGGTCCCAACTCCCAGTGCCGGGAGAGCAATGAGCAGGCTGTTTGCTCTTGCCTGCCCGAGTATGTGGGTGCACCGCCAGCCTGCCGACCCGAATGCACCATATCATCGGAGTGTGCGGTGGACAAGGCGTGTGTAGCAAAGAAGTGTGTAGATCCCTGTCCAGGTTCTTGTGGCGAGAATGCCCTATGCCGTGTGGTCAACCATAGTCCTATTTGTTCGTGTCGCAATGGTTATACTGGCGATGCCTTCTATCGCTGTTTACCTATACCTCGTAAGTGCTCCGCTTGTCTTCCAATATATAATTTTAAACATTCCGATTTGGGTAAAGCCGCGCCGCCTACTGCAGTTGTGCAACAGCAACCGATTGATCCTTGTGTACCTTCACCTTGCGGTCCGTACTCCGAGTGTCGTCCACATGGCGAGGCCCCATCGTGCTCTTGTTTGAATGGTTATCTGGGCGTGCCACCCAACTGCCGTCCCGAGTGTCGTATTAACTCAGACTGTCCCAGCAGTCAGGCCTGCATAAATGAAAAATGTCGGGATCCCTGCCCTGGTTCCTGCGGCTTTGGTGCCATTTGCAGTGTCATCAATCACACACCCAGCTGCACATGCCCAGCAGGTTATACCGGCGATCCATTCAGCCATTGTCAGCCGGAACCACCACCAAAACGTAAGCTTGGTACTAAAAACAATGCCAACAGTACCATAATCTCTTGCTCTATAGCTGTGGAAGCCGACGATCCTTGCAATCCCTCACCGTGTGGTCCCAATGCCATATGTAATGCTGGCACCTGTACCTGTCTGCCTGAGTATCAAGGTGATCCCTACAGCGGTTGTCGTCCCGAATGCCTGACTAGCTTGGACTGTCCGCGAGATCGCGCTTGCGCTCGGCACAAGTGTTTCGATCCCTGCCCAGGCACATGTGCAACCAACGCCTTGTGTACTGTGATTAATCACATACCGATGTGTACATGCCCCGAAGGCTATGCTGGCAACGCATTCCTTCAGTGTCACCCTATACCACGTAAATATGACACAATTCTAAAGTTACCAATTGGAGTGACCATTCTGAATCTTTCACTTGACAGCAGCTGCCGCCGTACAGCCCTGCCAGCCTTCGCCATGCGGACCGAATTCGCAATGTCGAGAGGCCAATAAACAGGCAGTCTGTTCCTGTGTGCCGGGATATGTAGGCACACCACCATTATGTCGACCTGAGTGCACCAGCAACTCGGAGTGTTCCGCTCAGCTTGCCTGTGTGAATCAAAAGTGTGTCGATCCCTGCCCCGGCGCCTGTGGTCGCAGTGCGAAGTGTAGTGTAGTCAATCACAATCCGTTCTGCACCTGCTTGCCACACTATACAGGTAATCCATTTTTGGGCTGCCAGGTAATTATCGAGCCACCACAGCGTGACACTGTGCCCGAAGATCCTTGTCGTCCATCACCTTGTGGAGCCAACGCTGAGTGCCGCGCCATTGGGGAGACACCATCTTGTTCGTGTCTTGCAGACTTTGTGGGGTCGCCACCTTACTGCAAGCCGGAATGTGTCGTGAATTCCGAGTGTCCTAGTAATCGGGCGTGTATTAATCAAAAGTGTCGCGATCCTTGTCCCGGCCTTTGTGGCGCAAACGCTATTTGTCGCGTTGTCTCACATACAGCTATGTGTGTTTGTGACGCTGGACTGACGGGCGATCCTTTTACACAGTGCCAGCCAATTGAAAAGGATGTGGAGATTATTAATCCTTGCCAACCATCGCCATGCGGTGCAAATGCCGAGTGCATACAGCGCAATGGTGCCGGAGCATGTCAATGCCTGCCCGATTACTTCGGTAACCCCTATGAGGGTTGCCGACCGGAGTGTATTCTTAATTCGGACTGCCCATCGAATCTTGCCTGTCAGCAGCAAAAGTGTCGCGATCCCTGTCCAGGTAGCTGTGGACAGAATGCCGAATGCAATGTCGTCAATCATACGCCGATGTGTTCCTGCGTCGCGGGATATGTTGGAGATCCATATCGCTACTGTAACCAGCCTGCAGCACGTAAGCTAGTTTCAATCTATTAAGTAGAGTTGCCTATCTAACTTGGCGTAGCTGTTGTAGTTACTAATTCCAAGCGTATTATCTATTTGCCTAACCCTAACTCTAGCACTTGTTCACGAGTATGTTAATCCATGTCTGCCCTCGCCTTGTGGCTCGAATGCCCAATGTCGAGAGGTGCTGGGTCAAGCGGTCTGCTCCTGTCTTTCCGAATTTAAGGGAGCGCCACCCAATTGTCGACCCGAGTGTACCTCGAACGCTGAGTGCCCAGCCAACAGGGCATGTATTAATCGCAAGTGCGTCGATCCATGCCCGGGTGTTTGCGGCCATCAAGCGACTTGTCAGGTGCACAATCACAGTCCCGTTTGCATATGTCCTGCAGGCCTGATGGGCGATCCTTTCGTACGCTGCCTACCCCGACCAACACGTAAGAAATCTGTCTGCAAATATCTATAATCAGTCGACGTAACACGATTTTGTCGAAATATTAGCTCCACCACCGCCGCTTCGAGATGTGGCGCCCTATAGGGATCCCTGCGAATCCTCACCTTGTGGCCTGTACGCTACATGTCGTAGTCATCATGAACAAGCGATTTGTTCCTGCCAGACCAATTATTTAGGCACACCGCCGCATTGTCGACCTGAGTGTACCATCAATGCTGATTGCGCCAGTCACATGGCTTGCATTGGTGAACGGTGTCTTGATCCCTGCCCTGGAGCCTGCGGTCAGTACACTGAGTGTCGTGTGATCAATCATACGCCTAGCTGTGTTTGCCTGCACGGCTACGTTGGGGATGCCTTTGTGGCTTGCCAGCCTGCACCACGTAAGCAATTGGGTGAAAGCTTTCGACCTTCAGTACATCAACACTTCTACGATTTATACAGCGCCGCGAGCCTATGAAGAACCCAGAGATCCTTGCAATCCCAGTCCCTGTGGGAGCAATGCAGTCTGCTCGGGAGAAGGCCAGTGCATGTGCATTGCCGAATATCAGGGCGACCCTTACATCGCTTGTCGTCCAGAATGCGTCCTCAACTCTGAATGCCCTCGCAATCACGCTTGTGTACAGCAAAAATGTGTTGATCCCTGCCCAGGCACATGTGGCGTCGGGGCCACTTGCGAGGTTTTCAATCACATTGCAATGTGCCACTGTCCGGGGGGCATGGCTGGCAATGCATTTATTCAATGCAGTCCCCTACAAAGTATGTTTATAGTTCCACCCTTGAGACAAATAACTAATCTACTGAAACCGCTCTTCAGTGACCGTCTATCAGAATCCCTGCCAACCATCGCCCTGTGGTGCAAACGCTGAATGCCGCGAAAGGCAAGGTCAGGCCATCTGCAGCTGTCTACAAAATTATTATGGCGTACCACCATCTTGTCGACCCGAGTGCACCACCAATTATGACTGTGCTCCCAGTCGTGCTTGCCAGAATCAACATTGCGTTGATCCCTGTCCAGGCGCATGTGGGGCCTACGCCGAATGCAGGGTGGTCAGTCACAGTCCCTTCTGTAGCTGTCAGCCTGGCTATACGGGTAATCCGTTTGTGCAGTGCCATATAATTAGTAAGTTCCCAAATTCCACACAATTCAACTTAATTGATGCAACTGTCAAAACTACAGTCGAACCACTGCGGGATATTGTGACCCGGGATCCATGCCAACCGTCCCCTTGTGGTCCTAACAGTGAGTGCCAACGTAATGGGGATATACCATCCTGTTCGTGTCTTGAGAGCTTCTTTGGAACTCCACCAAACTGCCGACCCGAGTGCTTGTCTAACTCTGATTGTGCTTCATCCCGGATTTGCAGAAACAATCGTTGCACGGATCCTTGTCCAGGCCTTTGCGGCATCGGTGCTGTATGCCATGTGCTTAGTCACAGCGCGATGTGCTACTGTCAACAAGGCTATAGCGGTGATCCTTTCGTTCTCTGCTTACCAATTCAGCATGAGCCACCTGAGATGATACAGCCTTGCAATCCCAATCCCTGCGGCACTTTTGCCGAGTGTCATCAACGAAATGGCATTGGCTCTTGCCAATGTCTACGCGAGTACTATGGCAATCCCTATGAAGGCTGCCGTCCCGAATGTGTGCTTGATTCAGACTGCCCATCTAATAGAGCCTGTGTTAATCAGAAGTGCCGCGATCCTTGCCCTGGCAGCTGTGGCCACAATGCCGAGTGTTATGTGAGAAATCATTTGCCAACTTGCAATTGCCTTAGCAACTATGTGGGTGACCCCTATCGCTACTGCAGCCTTGAAGAGAAACGTAAGCATCTCTTGGCTTTGCTCTCCACCCTTATTGGACACATTTAATTTGTTCCAGCCATTCGCGAGTATGTTAATCCCTGCCATCCCTCACCCTGCGGTCCCAATAGTCAGTGCAAAGAGGTTAATGAACAGGCTGTTTGCTCATGTTTGCCCGAGTACGTAGGCACTCCTCCTGGTTGTCGTCCTGAGTGTACGCTGTCATCAGAATGTAACTTCGACATGGCCTGCGTACAGCACAAATGCGCTGATCCTTGTCCTGGCGCTTGCGGCAGCAATGCGCTATGTCATGCCACAAATCATGCTCCGCTGTGCGCCTGCCAGTCAGGATATACCGGAGATCCGTTCACGCGATGCTATCCCGTACCTCGTAAGTCAATTGGTCTATGCTCTGTGCCACATCTACTGACCCAATCATTCGGTAAATTTAGCACCGCCCACCCAGATGCTACATGAACCTGTGCGTGATCCCTGTCAGCCGTCTCCATGTGGAGCTAATGCTCAATGTCGCCAGGTAAATGGTCAGGCCATATGTAGCTGCCTGTCTGGGTATTTTGGGGTACCGCCGAGTTGCCGACCCGAATGCACACAGAGTGCCGAATGTCTACCCAGTCTGGCATGCATAAACCAGCGCTGCGTTGATCCGTGCTCTGGTTCCTGTGCCTACAATGCGATCTGCACGGTGCGCAACCACGTGCCCAGCTGTCAATGTCCCGTCAGTTATGTAGGGGATCCATTTACATTCTGCCAACCTGAACCACGTAAGAAAAAGAACACAAATGTTTGGGTCCACTTTCATCAATTTTGATATCTTACCTATAGCCAAGCCCATTGTAACCGACGATCCCTGCAATCCCTCACCCTGTGGATTTAATGCCCAGTGTAAAAATGGTATTTGCACGTGTATTGCCGAATACCAAGGTGACCCCTATGTGGGTTGCCGTCCAGAATGCGTGCTTAACGCCGACTGCCCTCGTGATCGTGCATGTGTCCGCAACAAGTGCATCAATCCCTGTCCAGGAACCTGTGCCTCCAACGCCATATGTGATGTACTTAACCATATTGCCATGTGCCGTTGTCCAACACCCATGATAGGCAATGCGTTCATTCAATGTGAAACACCGCCAAAGCAATTCCTGCCACCGTCAAATCCTTGTGCACCTTCACCATGTGGTCCTAACAGTCGTTGTCGTGAGCTCAATGGTAACGCCGTTTGCTCCTGCATTGAAGATTATGTGGGCAGCCCACCTAGCTGTCGTCCAGAATGTACACGCAACTCGGATTGCTTGCCTAGTCTAGCATGCCAGCAGCAAAAGTGCATCGATCCCTGCCCAGGCACTTGTGGATACAATGCACTCTGCCATGTGGTAGACCATGCACCCATATGTAGTTGTCCACCACGACACATTGGCAATCCCTTCCTTGGCTGTTTACCAACACCACCGCAGAGAGATATCATTCCTGTAAAGCACGCTTGTCAACCCTCGCCATGTGGATCCTACGCGGAATGTCGGGCTGTGGGAGACCAAGCTCAATGCAGCTGTCTAACCACTTACATTGGAGCCCCGCCTAACTGTCGACCGGAATGCGTCACTAACTCGGAGTGCACGTTCGATAAAGCGTGTGTTAATCAAAAATGTGTGGATCCCTGCGCGGGCGCTTGTGCCGTCAATGCCGTTTGTCATGTACTTAGCCATGTTGCCATGTGCTATTGTGCTCCTGGTTATACAGGCGATCCTTTCACCAACTGCCAGCAAGCCCCTATAACTCAAAAACAGGAAAGCACGCAGCCCTGTTACCCAAATCCCTGTGGTGCCAATGCGCAATGTCGTCAGGAGGGCAATGCAGGCACCTGTCAATGCCTACCCGACTACCATGGCAATCCATATGAAGCTTGTCGACCTGAGTGTGTCTCCAATAGCGACTGTCCGTCGGACAAATCATGTCAGCAGTTGAAATGTCGCGATCCTTGCCCGGGCGTGTGCGGTCTAAATGCTGCTTGTCGCGTTCTTAACCACCTACCTACATGCCATTGCCTAAACTCATTCGTTGGTGATCCCTATCGATACTGTCAGCTCCCCGAGAAACGTAAGTGTAAAACTAACAGAAATCCCATAAAAAATCATATACAAGACCTATTGTCCTTTAGCCATTGTGAGAGAGTATGCAAATCCCTGTCAGCCATCACCCTGTGGCCCAAACTCCCAGTGCCTCGAGAAGAACGACCAAGCTGTCTGCTCATGTTTGCCGGAGTATGTGGGCACACCGCCCAACTGCCGACCTGAATGTGTGACCAGTGGCGAGTGTGTTTTAGATAAGGCCTGCATTAATCAAAAGTGTCGGGATCCATGTCCTGGCGTCTGTGGTACCAATGCCGACTGTCGTGTCTACCACCATGCGCCTATTTGCAGCTGCCGTCCAAACTTCCAAGGGGATGCTTTCACGCGCTGCTACCCTGCACCACGTAAGAGCTACCATGTGGTCTATATAAGCTCCAAATCATATTTTCTTACCCTGTTTACAGCCCCATCCATTGTCCAGTTGAATAGATATACGAATCCTTGTGTTCCATCGCCATGTGGTCAATATGCTGAGTGTCACGATACTCAAGGCACTGCTATTTGCAGTTGTTTACCAAACTATTTTGGCAGCCCACCTAACTGTCGACCCGAGTGTAGTATCAATGCTGACTGCCCCGCTCATCTGACCTGTCAAAACCAGCGCTGCCGTGATCCTTGTACAGGCGCCTGCGGCTTCAATGCTCAGTGCCTGGTCATAAATCATATCCCCGTTTGTCAGTGTTTACCGGGATTGACTGGCAATCCGTTTGTGTCGTGTCAAGCCCCACCAACAGCACCCCGACCATCTTTGATGAATGACGATCCATGCCTACATGTAAGGTGTGGTCCCAATAGTGTTTGCAGCCAGGGACAGTGCAGCTGTCTACCCGAATTCCATGGAAACCCATCGGTTGGCTGTCGTCCGGAATGCATATTGAGCACGGAGTGTGCCCAGAATCTCGCCTGCGTGCGCCAAAAATGCATTGATCCCTGCCCGGGCACATGCGGCTCGAACGCAATATGTGAGGTTCACAACCATGTGGCCTTGTGCCACTGCCCAGCTGAAATGACGGGCAATGCTTTTGTGCAATGCTTGCCATTGCCTCCGCCGCCTCCACGTGTTGTTTCCGATCCCTGTCAACTATCACCTTGCGGACCCAATGCACAGTGTCGAAATATTAATGGACAAGCTGTCTGCTCCTGCCTGCCACAATTTGTGGGTGTGCCACCATCATGTCGTCCGGAATGTATTAGCAATGAAGAGTGTCCACTGCACTTGGCTTGTCTGCAGCAGCGTTGCAGCGATCCTTGTGCGGGTGCCTGCGGTCAGAACGCTGAATGCCGAGTTCTTAATCACAGCCCGAACTGTCGTTGCATCAGCTCCTACACTGGGAATCCCTTCATAGTATGCCATCCACAGCCGCCGCCGCCTCTTACACACGATGTGGTTGATCCCTGCAAGCCCTCGCCTTGTGGACCGAATTCCGAATGCCGCAACGTTGGAAACAATGCTCAATGCAACTGCCTTGTTGGTTTCATGGGAATACCGCCCAACTGTCGGCCTGAATGCGCTAGCAGCGCTGACTGCCCTACAAATCTGGCATGCTTTAACCAAAAATGCCGTGATCCTTGTCCGGGCGTGTGTGGTAACAATGCCGAATGCTACGTCATCAATCATACGCCCATGTGCGTCTGCTTAAAAGGCTACACTGGCAATCCCTTCATTAATTGCGATGTACAGCGTGATATTATTGAATCACCTTCGCCCTGTGTACCAAGTCCTTGTGGCTCAAATGCGATCTGTAGCGAATTGAATGGCGCTGGCGCCTGTGAGTGCTTGCCTGAATTCTTTGGCAATCCCTATGACGGCTGCCGACCAGAATGTATTTTGAATTCGGATTGCCCAAGCAATTTGGCCTGTGTCAATCAGCACTGCCGCGATCCATGCGCGGGTATCTGCGGTCCCAATGCCATATGCCATGTGCGCCATCATCTGCCGCATTGCAATTGCCTCAATGGCTATGAGGGCAATCCCTATAGCTACTGCAATGTCATACCTGAACGTAAGCAACTCAAATATGGTATATCTTCCACTCATCGTATTTACCCGACGTTTTTACATAACGTTTTTATAATAGCCCTGCATGAACCTGCTCCGCTGCATCCCTGCCAGCCCTCACCCTGTGGATCTAACTCCCAATGCCATGAAGCAAATCAGCAGGCGGTTTGCAGTTGCCTGCCAGACTTTATAGGCACTCCACCAGCTTGTCGACCCGAATGTACCATCTCCAGCGAGTGCTCCCTTGACAAAGCCTGCAAAAATCACCACTGTGTTGATCCCTGTCCAGGAGTCTGTGACCGCAATGCCGCGTGTCATACGATTTACCATAGTCCCCACTGCAGCTGTTTGCCAGGTTTTACGGGTGATGCTTTCAGTGGCTGTCGAACAATAAGTAAGATCTTGCCGCCAGTATGAGTTTGGCTTACAACTATCTAAACACAACAATATTTTTAGCACACGCCATTAGCTACGACTATCCAAAGGATACAAACCATGATCCTTGTGTGCCGTCACCCTGCGGCACTTTTGGACAGTGTCATGCTCAAAGCCGTCAAGCCGTGTGTCGCTGTCTGTCCGGTTACTATGGTGCTCCGCCTAACTGTCAACCGGAGTGTTTAATAAACTCCGATTGCGCTTCTCACTTGGCCTGCATAGGTGAAAAGTGTCGCGATCCCTGTCCTGGCTCCTGTGGTATTTCAGCACGATGTAACGCCATCAATCATACGCCCATTTGCAGCTGTCCCGTAGGCTATGAAGGAAATCCTTTCGTTAGCTGCGCACCAATACCACCATCACATGACCCACCGCCACGCGATGCTTGCAATCCCTCGCCATGCGGCTCAAATGCTATTTGCAACAATGGGCAATGCACTTGTATTGCTGAGTTCCATGGCAATCCCTACATTGGCTGCCGACCCGAATGTGTGCTTAACACGGATTGCGCACGTGACAAGGCTTGCCAGCGCAGTAAATGTGTAGATCCCTGTCCGGGCGCCTGTGGCGTAGGCGCTATTTGCGAGGTGCGCAACCATGTGCCCATGTGCCACTGTCCCCCGGGCACATCCGGCAATGCATTTGTACAGTGTGCTTTAGTACAACGTAGGTTTTGCTGTAGTACCTCAAAATTGTCAAAACTTAATTGTGTACCCAATCATTTAGCTGATCCAATCGTGCCCGTTAACCCATGCCGTCCAACACCCTGTGGAAGCAATGCACAGTGCCTTGTGGCAAATGACCAGGCAGTGTGTTCCTGCCTGGCCGGCTTTTTTGGCACACCACCGCTATGTCGACCAGAATGCAGCATCAACTCGGACTGTGCGCCTCATTTGGCCTGCCAGAATCAGCACTGCCGCGATCCCTGCCCTGGTGCCTGTGGCCAACACTCGCTCTGTCAGGTTATACGTCATACGCCCCATTGCAGCTGCCCGCCAGGCTACACGGGAAATGCATATGCGTTGTGCCAACGTCTACCACCGCCCCAAATTTTGCAACGTGATCCAGTCAATCCCTGCCAGCCCTCACCGTGCGGTGCCAATGCACAGTGCACTTCCACACCAGATGGCAACCAAGCGCAGTGCAAGTGCCTGGAACATTACATTGGAACCCCGCCAAATTGCCGGCCTGAATGTATTACTTCATCGGAATGCTCCAACCAATTGGCCTGTATTGGACAAAAGTGTCGCGATCCTTGTCCTGGTGTGTGCGGCCAGGCCGCCATCTGCCAGGTGATCAGTCATGTGCCATCCTGCGTTTGCATAGCTGATTATATTGGAGATCCATTTACCAAGTGTTATCCGCGCCCGACACTCGAGCGGGATCAAATTAATCCATGTGCACCTAGTCCCTGCGGCAGCAATGCCGTCTGCAGGCAACAGGGTAGAGTTGGTTCCTGCCAGTGCTTGCCCAACTACTATGGCAATCCTTATGAAGGCTGCCGACCCGAATGTGTCCTTAACTCCGACTGCTCGAGCCATTTGGCGTGCCTTAATCAACATTGCCGTGATCCCTGTCCTGGCAGCTGTGCACCCAACGCCCAATGCCAAGTCGTCAACCATGTTCCCATATGCAGCTGCTATCCCGGCCACATTGGTGATCCCTATCGCCATTGCCGGCTGCACCAGTCAGAACGTAAGCATTCTTTCCAGATGTTATCAGACATTTGCACTAACCCAACCAACAATATATTATTTGCACCCATTTGCACATCTCCCACAGCCATTAAAGTGGTTTACGTCAACCCCTGTGAACCCTCGCCCTGCGGTCCTAATGCTCAGTGTAAGGAATCTCATAATCAAGCAATTTGCAGTTGCTTGCCCGACTACTTTGGTACACCACCCGCCTGTCGACCCGAATGTACTACAAATTCGGAGTGTCCTATAAATAAGGCCTGTGTCAATCAGAAATGTCGAGATCCCTGTCCTGGTAGTTGTGGATACAATGCCATCTGCCAAACACTACATCACCGAGTTTATTGTTCTTGCATCCCCGGCCACACTGGCGATGCGTTGGTGCGTTGTCAACCCAAACCTCAGCCCGTTGTGGCGCGCGAACCATATCGTAATCCGTGCGTTCCCACACCCTGCGGACAATACGCGCAATGCCGTGTGGTCAATGACCAAGCGATCTGCAGCTGTCTGTCTGAGTATTATGGTACGCCACCACACTGTCAACCCGAATGTATACTCAACTCCGATTGTCCCGCTCATCGTTCGTGCATTAATGAAAAGTGTCGAGATCCCTGTCCGGGCGCTTGTGGGCTATACGCTCAATGCAGTGTTTTAAATCACGTGCCCAGCTGCACATGTCCCAGCGGGTATATTGGCGATCCATTCTATCGCTGTTATCCAGCAACACCTGTTCCCACTCCAATTGCCGAAGATCCCTGCCAGCCATCGCCCTGTGGTGCTAATGCCCAGTGTGCGGGCGGCATTTGCAGCTGTTTGCCACTATACACGGGTGATCCGTACGTGGGTTGTCGGCCCGAATGTGTGTTAAGCACAGAGTGCACCTTAGACAGATCATGCGTGCGCAATCGCTGCATTGATCCCTGTCCTGGCACATGTGGATATAGCGCCATATGTGAAGTGCACAACCATGTGGCCATGTGCCATTGCCCCGGCGGTCTGCAGGGCAATCCATTCGTTTTATGCCAAACACCGCCATTGCAGACATTGCCAGCACCACCAGTGCAACCCTGCCAGCCATCGCCTTGTGGTGCGAACGCGCTTTGTCGCTCAGTTGGAGATCAAGCGATCTGCAGTTGTTTGCCAGGCTATTATGGCAGTCCACCAACCTGTCGCCCCGAGTGCACCACCAACCAAGAATGTCCTCTGAGCCTGGCATGCATGAATCAAAACTGTCGCGATCCGTGTCCGGGAGTCTGCGGCCATCAGGCTGAGTGTCATGTGATAAGCCACCGACCCCAATGTGTTTGCCCCACAGGCTACACAGGCAGTCCATACACACAATGCCAGCCTATTAGACCAGCTCCGGCTGTAGTCCAACGTGAACCACTTGATCCTTGCATCCCCTCGCCTTGTGGCCCTCACTCCGAGTGCAGCAGTGATCAAAGTGTAGCAACTTGTCGTTGCCAACCAGAGCATATAGGCGTGCCTCCTTATTGCCGTCCCGAATGCATTTCCAACAGCGACTGTCCCAGCGATCGTGCATGCATTAATCGGAAGTGTCAGGATCCGTGCCCTGGTCTGTGCGGCTTCAATGCCATATGCCGCACCAGCAACCACCAGCCAATTTGTGTGTGTGCACCAGGTTTACTTGGTAATCCGTTTACTGCCTGTCAATTACCGCCCCCACCCACGCCGACTCCTATAACGACTGTTATAAAAACACCGCAATATGAGCAGACTGAGGGTAATCCTTGTGAGCCCAATCCTTGCGGCGCCAATGCGCTCTGCAGTCAGCATCACGGCATTGGCTCTTGTATCTGTTTGCCTGATTATTATGGCAATCCTTATGAAGCCTGCCGTCCAGAATGTGTACTCAACAGCGATTGTCTCTCGCACAGAGCTTGTGTGCAACAGAAGTGCCGTGATCCTTGCCCTGGCACATGTGGTTTAAATGCAGTGTGTTCTGTAGTCGACCACCTGCCCCAATGCAGCTGCTTCAGCGGCTACACCGGCAACCCATTGAAACACTGCGCCCCTCTGCCGGCGATACAGCAATGTAAGCGAAACATCCCAAACAATTCCTATATCATGTGTCAACATTACATATTTTTTTCTAACCTTGTAGCACCCGTAGATCAAATCAATTCTTGCGATCCATCCCCTTGTGGTCCTAATGCACAATGCCTTGAAAGCAATAAGCAAGCTATTTGCTCTTGTCTCCCTGACTTTTATGGTAGCCCACCTTATTGCCGACCCGAGTGTACCTTAAACTCTGAGTGTGCCTTCGATAGGGCCTGTGTGCAGTTTAAGTGTACCGATCCATGTTTAGGAGCCTGTGGTTTTAATGCCGAATGCCGAGTCCATTACCATAGCCCTATTTGCTTCTGCAAGCCAACGCACACTGGAAATCCATTTACTCGCTGTTATGAGAGTCAAAGACGTAAGATCCAATGTGATACAGCTGTCAACTGCAACAGTCCATTTAATAATCATCTTTCAGAAAATGTAGCTCCCCCAATAGTGAGACCTTCAATTTATGATACACCAGCACCACCCTATCCAATTGTCATACCCGGTGTGGTTTATATTTTCTCTGGGCCACAGCCGGTATCCCCATCGTACCCAGCTACAACATATACCACAACTTCCCAAGTGCCAACAACACATGAATCGAAACCGGGTATTATTAATATACCATCAGCAACACCGCAGGCCACCCATAAACCAGGAATAGTGAATACTCCTTCATTCCCACCACCGGTGCCACCAGCTTCCCAACATCCTTTATTCGTTCCATCACCTTCGGTACCTTCAACACCTGCAACGCAACCAGGATTAATTAACATTCCATCAGTACCTCAACCTACATATCCGCCACCTCAACAAGGGATACATGATATAAGCCATCCACCACAGCAGCCACAACCTCCCGAACCAGGAGTCATTAATATTCCGTCAGCGCCTCAACCGATTTATCCGACAACACAGGGGCCCATTATTGTACATTCATCAAGTCCAACGTCTCCTGCACCACAGCCGGGAACTATCAACATACCATCCATACCACGGCCAACTTATCCATCATCTCAGCCTCCAGTCTACGATGTGAACTACCCAACGTCACAACCCACGCATAAGCCAGGAGCAGTGAATACTCCATCGTTCCCACAACCGGTGCCACCAGCTTTTCAGCCTCCCATATTCGTGCCTTCACCTTCAGTACCTTCCACACCTACAACGCAACCAGGATTAATTAACATTCCATCAGTACCTCAACCTACAAATCCGCCACCTCAACAAGCGATACATGATATAAGCCATCCACCACAGCAGCCACAACCTCCCGAACCAGGAGTCATTAATATTCCGTCAGCGCCTCAACCGATTTATCCGACAACACAGGGGCCCATTATTGTACATTCATCAAGTCCAACGTCTCCTGCACCACAGCCGGGAACTATCAACATACCATCCATACCACGGCCAACTTATCCATCATCTCAGCCTCCAGTCTACGATGTGAACTACCCAACGTCACAACCCACGCATAAGCCAGGAGTAGTGAATACTCCATCGTTCCCACAACCGGTGCCACCAGCTTCTCAGCCTCCCATATTCGTGCCTTCACCTTCAGTACCTTCCACACCTGCAACGCAACCAGGATTAATTAACATTCCATCAGTACCTCAACCTACATATCCGCCACCTCAACAAGCGATACATGATATAAGCCATCCACCACAGCAGCCACAACCTCCCGAACCAGGAGTCATTAATATTCCATCAGCGCCTCAACCGATTTATCCGACAACACAGGGGCCCATTATTGTACATTCATCAAGTCCAACGTCTCCTGCACCACAGCCGGGAACTATCAACATACCATCCATACCACAACCAACTTATCCATCACCTCAGCCACCAACCTACGATGTGAACTACCCAACACCGCAACCGACTCATAAGCCAGAAGTGATCAATATTCCTTCTGTTCAACAACCGGCGACACCAACTCCACAGCCTCCTATATTTGAGCCATCACCTCCAATTTCAAGACCAGCACCAAAACCTGGGATAATAAATATACCTTCCGCGCCACAACCATCACCGCCGATTCCAGTTTTTGATGTTACCTACCCAACACAACCTACGCAGCCAGCAGTTCCTGGAGTTATCAACATTCATTCTGCACCTCAACCAGTCCCAACTCCTGAGCTAACGCATCCAGCTATATACGATGTATACTATCCACCGCCACCACAAATACCTGGAGTTATAAATATTCCATCATTACCACGGCCAATTATATCAACACCTACACCTCCTGCTCATATTCCGTCACCTGCAACGTCAGCTTCAACGCCTGCTCAACAACCAATAGTTATCTATGTACCATCTATACCACAACCAACTTATCCGACACCTCAGCTTCCAGTATATGATGTAAACTACCCGAATGAACAACCAGCTACAATACCTGGTGCTGTGAATATTCCTTCAGTTTTACAGCCAGTCCCATCAGTACCGCAGCCTCCTATATTCGTTCCATCTCCTCCAGCAACTTTTGCACCTGCTCCTCAACCAGCAGTAATAAACATTCCTTCAGTAGCTCAGCCTACGTATCCAACAGTACTGCAGTATGATGTGAACCATCCAACCCCAGAAACGTCTGAGACGCCAGGAGCTGTGAACATTCCTTCCATCCCACGGCCAGTACCACCAGTTCCTCAACCTCCTATATTCATTCCATCTGCAGTATCTTTGACACCTACACCACAGCCGGGAGTTATCAATATACCATCTGTACCAACATACCCAACACCTCAACCTCCGATCAACGTTATTTCCTCATCGCCTCATCCCTCTCGAAAACCTGAAGTTTTAAATATTCCTTCAGATCCACAGCCAGTGGTTCCAGCTCCACAGCCTCCTATATTCGTTCCAACTCCAGTGGGAGTTACTCCTATAACTCCGGCGTATGATGTTAACTACCCAGTAAAACAACCAGATTCCATGCCAGAAATCATCAACAATCCATCAGCTGCACAGCCAACACCTAACACCCCACGTCCGATCAATAATATTTTGACACCAAGTGCAGAGATTAATCCGTGCTATCCCTCTCCATGTGGCCCATACTCGCAATGCCACAATCGTTTTGGAGTAGCCGCGTGTATTTGTCTACCCAATTACATTGGAACCCCGCCAAATTGCCGTCCAGAATGCGTCGTGCACTCCGACTGTCCTGCTCACTTGGCATGCATTAATGAAAAATGTCGCGATCCTTGTCCAGGCTCTTGTGCCTACAACGCTCTATGCCGAGTGCACAACCATGTGCCTAACTGTATTTGCCCGGCTGGCTACACCGGCGATCCCTTCGTTTCATGCGAACGGACGCCGGAGCCTCCCATCGTGGAACACGAACCAACTGCAGCGAAGGATCCTTGTTATCCGTCACCTTGTGGAGCAAATGCTTTATGCAATAATGGCATCTGCAGTTGTCTGGCCGAATATCATGGAAATCCTTATGTGAGCTGTCGTCCGGAATGCGTGCTGAATACGGACTGTACCAAGGATAAGGCGTGTAGGAGGCAAAAGTGCGAGGATCCATGCCCGGGCACTTGTGGATTAAATGCTGTGTGCAATACTTATAATCATATTCCCTCTTGCACATGTCCAGCTCAAATGCACGGTGACGCCTTTGTGCGCTGTGACCCAATGCCAGTACCGAAACCGGCAATGACAACTCCTTCCTCAACTCCCAGTACACTTCCTGCCATTATACCACCACGCATACCAATTAATCCCTGCCAGCCCTCGCCGTGCGGCCCCAATGCACAATGCCGCACATATCAGCAGCAAGCCATTTGCTACTGTCTGCCTGGTTATCAGGGCACACCACCCTCATGCCGTCCGGAGTGTAGCAGTAACTCGGATTGTGCTCTTGACAAGTACTGCTTGAACCTCAGATGTCGAAATCCGTGTCCAGGCGCTTGTGGCTTACGCGCTGTATGCCACGCGCAGAACCACAGTCCCATATGCGTGTGTCCACCCCCGCTTACGGGTAATCCCCTAGTAGCCTGTCAACCCATAGGTATGCCGCAAAACATCAACACGTTAGCAATCTCTAATGCAGTTCTTTCAGTTATGCCGCCAGCACCCACAAAAGACCCCGTCGAAGTGAATCCCTGTCACCCATCACCTTGCGGTCCCCACTCAAAGTGTGTGGCCACACCACAAGGCGCCCAGTGTAACTGTCTCGGAGAATTCATAGGCACACCACCGCATTGCCGTCCCGAGTGTGTTAGCAGCGCCGATTGTGCAAGTGACAAGACCTGCTATAATCACAAATGTATCGACCCTTGTCCCGGTAGCTGCGGTCAGCTGGCCTTGTGTCGCGTCATAGCTCACAGCCCGAACTGCTACTGCCCCGAAGGTTATATGGGCGATGCGTATACCACGTGCGTGCGATCCACGCCACCTCCAGCACCAGTTTTACCCAAGCCCATACCATGTAATCCGAATCCTTGTGGTGTGAATGCCATTTGCCAGCCGCAATATACCCAAAGCGTCTGTCAGTGTCTGCCCGACTATTATGGTAATCCCTACGAGATTTGTCGACCCGAGTGCACTCGCAATTCGGACTGCACAAGCGATCGAGCTTGTGTGAACGAGAAATGTCGCGATCCTTGTCCCGGTGTCTGCGGCATTAATTCATACTGTCAAGTTGTCAATCATGCGCCCATCTGCGAATGCCAACCATATCATGTGGGCAATCCCTATCACAGCTGTCATCTAATGACGCAAGAACGTAAGAAAAACTATAAGAACATGCAAACTAAATCTATGCCACTAAAACCAAATACCCTTCCGCGAGTTCTTTGCTTAGTAATCAGCAACAATGCAGTACTCAATTCCACTATTTACCCTTTCTTCTGAGTTCTATTTATAAGGTCTCATTATTAAAAACTAAAGATGTCCATCAAAGCTCACTTTACATAAGCTCTAGATATTAGTGATATTTTTGCTCTTTGACCATCAACAAATTTACGACTTGTTTTCTTTTCCCCTACCTTGTTACAAATCGACTCTACAACCATTTCATTATTCAATATTGTAATCTAAGCTCTGGTTGTGCTTTCTCTCTCGAGTTGTCCTTTTACAACTATTGCGTCACCAAACTTATACAGGAGTTGCAACCACATGACAGTAATAAACTATAGCTAACCACCACATTATCCAACACGTAAACGCAAGACTGCTTCAAGACTGCTTAAACTAGTTAAAAACGCTTTTGAATTGCTTTGTGCTTTTAGAATACGCTTTGCTTCGCAATTACCCTCAAATATGTACAGAAACTAATCTTAATTTTCACTCCGTTTAGCCACGCCCCCTGTTTATGTAAATCCCTGTGAGCCATCACCGTGCGGCGCCAATTCACAGTGTCGAGAATCGCAGGGTCAGGCAATTTGCAGCTGCCTGCCACAGTTTATAGGTACTCCGCCCGCCTGTCGTCCCGAGTGTGTTATCAGTGCCGAGTGTAGCGCGGATAAGGCCTGCATAAATCAGAAGTGTCAAGATCCCTGCCCAGGCACATGTGGTGTCAATGCCCAATGTCATGTGCGCAACCATAGTCCGCTATGCTCCTGCCAATCTGGTTACACCGGCGACGCCTTTATCCGCTGCTTGCCGCTACCACCCAAACAGGCAGAGCCACCTACGCAGCCAGCCATGCCATGTGTGCCGTCACCATGTGGACCCAATTCCCAGTGTCGTGAAGTAAATGGCGGCGCCAGTTGCAGTTGCTTGCCAAACTTTGTTGGTGCAGCACCCAACTGCCGGCCTGAGTGCACCATTAATGCAGAGTGCGGCAGCAATTTGGCGTGTATCAATGAGAAATGTCGTGATCCTTGTCCAGGTGCCTGCGGCTTTGCAGCACAATGTAATGTAATCAACCATACGCCTAGTTGCTCTTGCCCCGCTAGCTACACAGGCGATCCATTCAGCAGCTGTCGGCTGTTGCCGCCCACACCGCCACCAACACCACCGAGTATGCCCCCTCTATTACATAAGGTGTTGCTTTCTCCTAACCCTGACCCCAACTATTTCACAGCGCCCGCCGAGCCCTGCAATCCCTCACCGTGTGGAAGCAATGCGCAGTGCCGCAGTGGCCAATGCTCATGCCTGCCGGAATATCAGGGCGATCCCTACATTGGATGTCGTCCGGAATGCGTGCTAAACTCCGAGTGTCCAAGAAATCGCGCTTGTGTACGCAACAAATGCATTGATCCCTGTCCCGGAACTTGTGCCCAGAACGCTCTTTGCGATGCGATCAATCACATTGCCATGTGTCGCTGTCCTGAGCGCATGACGGGCAACGCATTTGTTGCCTGCACACCTGTGCGCGACGAGCCCCCAATTAATCCATGTCAACCATCGCCATGTGGAACCAATGCACAGTGTATTGAGCGCAATGGAAATGCGATTTGTTCCTGCATCACTGGATATTTGGGTCAGCCGCCCAATTGCCGTTTAGAGTGCTACACCAGCTCGGACTGTTCCCAACAACACGCGTGCATCAATAACAAGTGTGTGGATCCCTGCCCTGGACAATGCGGCCTCAACGCTGTTTGTCAGGCTGTGCAGCATCGTGCCCACTGCGAGTGCATCGCTGGCTACACTGGCAACGCCTACAGCCTGTGCAATCCCATCGTTGTGGAGCGCAAACCGGAAACAGCCCACGATCCATGCTACCCTTCGCCATGTGGATCAAATGCGCAGTGCAACAACGATAATGGTCAAGCGCGTTGTAGTTGCCTGGTTGAATTCCAAGGGAAGCCGCCCAACTGCCGGCCTGAGTGTTCCTACAATGATGAGTGCGCAAATAATTTAGCCTGTATCGGTCAGAAGTGTCGCGATCCATGCCCCGGTAGCTGTGGCCAAAATGCCCAGTGCCTAGTTACCCTGCACACACCCAACTGTCATTGTCCAGCGGGCATGACGGGTGATCCGTTCCGACTCTGCCAGCAAGTACCCCAAAGTAAGAACAAATCGGCCAACCCAACAAGTTTGCATATTGTATATAGGCAGGGCAACCTTTCTCCCCCACCCACCGCAACAACTATATATAATCTTAATCTTACATATTCATTTACAGCTTTGCCAACACCATTGCCTACACCAAAGAATCCCTGCAATCCATCACCATGTGGCAGTAACACCGAGTGCCGTTTGCGTGGCGAAAGCTTTGTCTGCGAGTGCATTCAGGAGTATATTGGCAATCCTTATGAAGGCTGCCGTCCCGAATGCGTTGGCAACTCTGAGTGCCCAGCCAATCGCGCCTGCATACGCAACAAGTGCGCCAATCCCTGCCCGGGTACCTGCGGCCAAGATGCGCTATGCAATGTCAACAACCACATACCAATCTGTTCCTGCCCGGAAGGTTACACGGGTAATGCCTTTATGCAATGCTCGCGACAGGTGACACCACTGCCACCCTCGGATCCATGCTATCCATCGCCCTGTGGCCTCAACTCTGTGTGTCGTGTGCAGCGGGATCAGGCTGTCTGCGAATGTCTGCCCGGCTTCTTTGGCAATCCATTGGGTCAGGGCTGTCGACCTGAGTGCACACTCAGCTCAGACTGTGCCAAGGATCGTGCGTGTGTGAACAACAAGTGCGTTGACGCCTGTGCTGGAGTTTGTGGCTACGGCGCCGTCTGCCAGACAATCAATCACAGTCCCATTTGCTCTTGTCCTGACAACATGGTTGGTAATCCGTTCGTGCAATGCGAAGCGCCACGTACCGTCGATGTCGATCCCTGTCAACCATCGCCCTGTCGCAGCAATGGTATCTGCCGCGTACAAAATGGCGCTGCCACATGCAGCTATCCGGAGTGTGTTACTAACGAAGACTGCTCCCGGGATCGCGCTTGCGTCAGTCAGAAATGCCATGACCCATGTCTGCACGCCTGTGGTCTCAACGCTATTTGTCGTGTTATTAATCACAAGTCCGTGTGCAGTTGTCCTCCAGATTTCTATGGCTCACCGTACGCGCAGTGCGTGCGCCAAGTGCCTCAACTGGATCCACCAAGGCCCGAATGCACCAGTGATGGCGAATGCAGCAACGACAAAGCATGTATCAATCAGGTCTGCCGCAATCCCTGCGAGCAATCAAATCTGTGCGCACAGCAAGCACGCTGCCATGTGCAGCTTCATCGTCCGCTCTGCGTGTGCAATGAAGGCTACACTGGCAACGCCCTGCAACACTGTTACCTCTTAGGCTGTCGCTCCGATAGTGAGTGCGCGCCAACCGAGGCATGCATTAATGAGCAGTGTGTGGACCCGTGCACTTTTACCCAGTGCGGCACAGGAGCCATCTGTCGCACCGACTTCAATCATCGAGCCCGCTGCCACTGCCCCGATGGCTACCGCGGCAATCCTCTACTGCGCTGCGAGCGACCCGAGTGTCGAAGCGATGACGACTGCACCTTCCGTTTGGCGTGCCGCAACGAGCGCTGTGAAGATCCCTGCAATTGTGGTATTGGCGCTCAGTGCCGTGTAGATAACCATCGCGCCCAGTGCCGATGCCCGGCCGGCTATAGCGGCAATCCAGCAGTAAGTTGTGAATTGCTGCCCGTCAAGCCTGAAGGCTGCACTATGGATGCCGAATGCCCCAGCAAACTGGCATGCTTCAATGGAGAGTGCAAGAACCCTTGCGATGTGACCCATCCATGTGGCGCCAATGCCATCTGTGAGGTTGTCGATACACTGCCCTTGCGTACTATGATCTGTCGCTGTGAGCCTGGTTACGTTGGTGATGCTGACATTGGATGTCGCAAAGGTGGGTAACAATAAAAAATTCCATTTGGGATTGTACCTATTTTTGCTTTATGTCGAGTTTGCTTATTTCATTGCAGCTAAGTTGAAAATAGTTAAATATAAATATTATGTTCAATATGCTCCCCCCTTTTATCCGTTTACAGAGTTGCACAATTTATTCTTTTACACCGTATATTGTATATGCACTCTATAACCTTTATGAAACTATAGCACTATCACCATAAAGCGTCTTATTCAATTTAATTCAACTCATATTTAATTAATCGCTTTCATTTTATTTAGAACCGACACATGACCAAGGGTGCGTGTCACATGATCAATGCCAAAATACAGAGTCCTGCCGCGCTGGCAACTGTGTCAATCCTTGCCTGGATGCATCACCCTGTGCGCGCACCGCTCAATGCTTAGCGCAACAGCATCGCGCCATCTGCAGCTGTCCACAGGGTACCCAAGGAGATCCATTCACCAACTGCTATCAGCCACGTATGTCCCTTTCACGTTATCCCACATAGCTCTGTTATAAGCCAGTTTTTTACTCATTTGCTACAGCACAAATTACAGCTGGTTGCGCCCACGACTCGGAATGTACGCCCACAACGGCATGCATCAATAAACGCTGCCAGGATCCTTGTGCCGAGGCCAATCCTTGCGCTGGCAATGCCGAGTGTCGCGTGCAAAATTCGCGACCTACCTGCTACTGTCCCCCTGGATGGGGTGGTGATCCCCAAGTTCAATGTTTCAAACGTAAATACTGTCGAGCTATATTTAGTAAGCCTGTCTAATCGTCTCTAAAAATTTTCAGCGGAGTGCAAGATTAATGCTGATTGTCCCTATGATAAGGCTTGCCTTAATGAAAACTGTGTCAATCCGTGTACTCATGGTCAGGTGCGTTGCGGCAGCGGTGCCGAATGCCTACCACAGAATCACCAGGCTGTCTGCCGCTGTCCCGCCGGCACGCAGGGCAGTCCCTTCATCGCTTGCATTACTGGACATTGTCAGTATAACGAGGATTGTGCCGATAATGAGGCCTGCGATCGCCTGAATCGCGTTTGCCGTCCAGTTTGCGAGCAGGACACCTGCGCCGTGAATGCCCTTTGTGTGGGACGTCGTCATCAGCCACAATGCGAGTGCCGTGCAGGCTACCAAGGCAATCCCTTCGTGCTATGCCAGGAACCCAAGCGTGATCCACAGCCGCAGTGTACACAGGACGCCGACTGCCCATCGAAATTGGCATGTATTAATCAGCGCTGCGAAAATCCATGCGCCACACCACATGTCTGCAGTCCACAGCAAAGCTGTGCAGTCCTGGACACATTGCCACTGCGCACCATGATCTGCAAGTGTCCCAGCGACACTGTCTCCGATAACTCTGGCAACTGTGTGCCTATCCAAACTGTCATCGTCCCCGGCGGCTGTCAGCATAATGCAGAGTGCGCTAGCTCCGAGGTATGTTTGCATGGCAGCTGTCTGGACGCCTGTCGCCTGGAACGGTGCGGCGTTAACGCTCAATGTAACGCGCGTGATCATTACGCGCAATGCAGTTGTCCGGCTGGTTACCAAGGTTATCCACGCATCGAATGCTACACAACAGACATAGCCATCCCGAAAATTCCGGGCGCCGAGTGTACACGCAACGATGACTGTCCTCGTGATAAGAACTGCCAAAACGAACGCTGTGTGAATCCATGCGCAGCGGATGCCTGTGGTCTGGGCGCCTACTGTCATGTACAAAATCGGGCCGCCGTCTGCCGTTGCCCGCCTGGCTATACTGGTGATGCACGCGTACGGTGTCTGCCACGTAAGTCGATGCAGTAGTCTATTACCTTAAACAAACTTTTAATTCTCAATTAATTGCAGCTTCGGATGTCATCACAGTAGGCTGCAAGTCGAATTCCGACTGCCCTATTTCGGAGGCGTGTATCAATGCGCAGTGCATCAATCCTTGCAATTGTGGACCCAATGCCGAGTGCACTGTTAAGAATCATCATCCAATATGCTACTGCAAGCCCGGCTATTCAGGCAATGCGCAGTTCGGCTGCGTACCTATTGGCTGTCAGTCGGACGATGAGTGTTTGGGCGACAAGCAGTGCGTTCATCGTGAGTGTATCAATCCATGTCTCGTTTCCGATCCTTGTGCTTTGAACGCGGAGTGTTATGGCCGTAATCATCGCGCTAGCTGCCGTTGTCCCGTCGGCCTCGAGGGTGATCCATTTGTGCGTTGTGTACGACTGGAATGTCACTCCGATCACGATTGCGCCTCCAACTTGGCTTGCGTTGCTAACCAGTGTGTGAATCCTTGCGCTCAGAGCCCTTGCGCTCAAAATGCTATCTGTCAGGCGCTTAATCATCGCGCCGTCTGTCGGTGCCCAGAGCAAATGCCATTAGGCAATCCATATGCCTTCTGCGAACGCCGACCAATTGAGCCAGTGTGCCGCGACGATGGTGACTGCCCCAGCGGATTGGCCTGCATCGATGCTAAATGCAAGAACCCATGCACCGAACTTTCACCCTGTGCACGCAGTGCCCACTGCAGCGTGCTGGACAGCGTGCCTGTGCGCACCATGGTTTGTGAGTGCCCTGAGTCACAAGTACCGGATGCCAGCGGGGAGTGTCGCCAGCTGGTGTTACAGAGTCCTCCCGGCTGCGAAAGCGATTTGGATTGTAACGAACAGGAGGCCTGTGTGAATCGTCAATGCCGCAATCCTTGCAACTGCGGTACCAACGCTATTTGTCATGTTCAACAACATCGCGCCGTGTGCAGCTGCCAGGATGGCTTCGAGGGCAATCCTTATGCCGCCTGCCGCTCCATTGGTTGTCGTGTCGACGGCGAATGCGACTCTGGAAAGGCCTGCATCAATGGCAATTGTATCAATCCTTGTCTACTCAAGGATCCGTGCGGCCCCAACGCCGAGTGCTATGTACAGTCCAGTCGCGCCCAATGCCGCTGCCTTAGCGGCTATCGCGGCAATCCATACGAGCGCTGCCGCGTCATTGGTTGCAGTAGTAACAACGACTGCCCCACAGATAAGACTTGCCAGAATGAGCAATGCGTTAATCCATGCGTGTATCACAATGTCTGTGCACAACGCGCTGAGTGTCGCCCACAAAATCATATGGCCGTGTGCCGCTGTCCGTCGAACTTCTTGGGTAATCCCTATGTGGACTGTCGCCCACAACCACAGCCCGTTTGCAAACTGGATACGGACTGCCCAGCGCGCCTGGCCTGCATTAACGAGCAATGCGTCGATCCCTGCTTAGTATTGGAGCCCTGTCAAAGACCCGCCCAGTGCCAGGTGACACCAACGGCTCCTGTACGCACCATGATCTGCATTTGTCCCGATGGCTATATCAGCAGTGGCAGCGGCAGCTGCAAGCCTACCACTAGCGTGGTCAAGGTGGGCGGTTGCATCTCAGATACCGACTGTGCCGCTGATAAGTCTTGCGTGAGCGGCATTTGCCGAGATCCGTGCAACTGTGGTCTGAATGCTGAGTGTCGCATTAAGGACCACAAGCCAGTTTGTACCTGTCGTCAGGGCTACGAGGGCAATCCCGAGTTCGAGTGCGCCAAGATCGAATGCACCATTAATTCAGAATGTCCGGCCACACATGCCTGCCGTAACCAGCTCTGCGTGCCCGCCTGCCAGGGCGAGCTTTGTGGACCCAATGCCGAATGCCTAGCTATCAATCATCGAGCCGTTTGTGAATGCGCCCCTGGACATGGCGGAAACGCACGTCTGGGCTGCACACCGCTTGGCTGTCGCAACGACGATGAATGTCCTTCGGATAAGGCTTGTGTAAATAGCAAATGCGCAAATCCTTGCGAGACTACGGCCATTTGCGCCAACGATGAGCTTTGCTTGGTCTATCAACATAAGCCTCAATGCGCGTGCCCACCAGGAACTGTGCCTGGTCGCAGGGGCTGCGAACAGGAACGAGTGGTGCCTATCTGCATCAGCGATGCCGATTGCCCAACTCAACGCGCCTGTCTGCGCGGCGAGTGTGTGAATCCTTGCAATTCTACGCAACCCTGCGGAGTAAATGCCGAATGCCGAGTCCTAGACACGCTGCCCGTGCGCACCATGATCTGCGAATGCCTCGAAGGCTACACCGGAAATGCAGCTGTACAGTGCGACAAGCGCTCGCTCTGCGTCATCGAGAAAGGATTTGTGCGCGATGTCGATGGTCAGTGCGTATGCCCGCCGGGCAGCGCCCTTGATATCTATGAGTACTGCACACCATGCCTGGTTGAGCAGGGCTATCGCATCGATGAAAGCGGCCACTGCGTATGCGCATTGGAACGTGGCATGGTAATTGATGAGCGTGGTAGCTGCACTTGTCCAATTGAGCTGGGCTATCGCCTGACACCTCTGGGTGAGTGCCAGCCCGTGGAGCAACCTGAGTGTGTGAGTAATGAGCAGTGCGCGGATAATCGCTACTGTAATCCAGAATCAAAGACCTGCGAGGATCCCTGCTTAACCAAAACGTGTGGTGTCAATGCCTTCTGCAATGCGGTGAATCATCGGGCCCAGTGCCAGTGCATCACCGGCTATACAGGTAATCCGGAGCTGCATTGCAATCACACCAATTTCCGTACCGACTTCCCCCGACCCGACATGGTTGTCAGTTGCTTAGCTGATGGTGTTCAAGTTGAGATTCATATCACCGAGCCGGGTTTCAATGGCGTGTTATATGTAAAGGGACACAGCAAGGATGAGGAGTGCCGTCGCGTTGTCAATTTGGCTGGCGAGACGGTGCCACGCACCGAAATCTTCCGTGTCCACTTTGGTAGCTGCGGCATGCAAGCCGTAAAGGATGTTGCCAGTTTTGTGCTGGTCATACAGAAGCATCCCAAGCTAGTTACTTATAAGGCGCAGGCCTACAACATCAAGTGCGTCTACCAGACTGGCGAGAAGAATGTGACCCTAGGCTTTAACGTATCCATGCTAACAACTGCCGGAACAATTGCCAATACTGGACCACCGCCCATCTGTCAAATGCGAATCATAACCAATGAGGGAGAGGAGATCAACTCAGCCGAGATTGGTGACAATCTACGTCTGCAAGTGGACGTTGAGCCAGCAAGTAAGTAGCTTAAAGTTATGACTGTAATCTAGACCCTAATTCTAAATTTTTCTACATTCTTCATTAGCTATTTATGGCGGCTTCGCGCGTTCTTGCATAGCTAAGACCATGGAGGATAATGTGCAAAACGAATATCTTGTAACCGATGAGAACGGCTGTGCCACAGACACAAGCATCTTTGGCAACTGGGAGTACAATCCGGATACCAACAGTCTGCTGGCCAGCTTCAATGCCTTTAAGTTTCCCTCCAGTGACAACATACGTTTCCAGTGTAACATTCGCGTATGCTTTGGAAAATGTCAGCCAGTTAATTGTGGTGGCTATAATGCCTTTGGACGCAGACGTCGCTCCATTACGGACAACTCCACCGATACGACAGCCATTGCCACCAGTACAGGTGTCGAGGGTCAGCTGCGCGAGGAGATAACTATCTCTTCCAATGCCATATTGACATTCGAGAAACGCAGCGGTTCAGGTCTGAATGATGCCAACAGTGAGTACCTCTACCCAGTCACACATTCAGAAGGCCCAATTTCTAATATGATATTTCTTTATTCAAATGCAGTCAAACCGGCGGCCCAGCGCGTTGAGGATATTTGTGTCTCAATGGTGGGCTTGATTATAGCTCTGGTTATCACGGCGCTGCTTGCACTTGTCGCAGTCGCCGTGGCGGTCTCCTGTTGGCTCATGGCCTACAGAAGAAGGCCCAAAACATTGGCGCCATTGCCACACCCGCCAGAGTTCCCCAATCCACTGTTTGCCAATGCAGACGCGGCACCCGAACCAACACCGGACTATATCTCCTAAACCGTAATGTAACTAAAAACAAAACACCCACAGACAAAACAAAACAAAAACACCTAGCTATAATAATAGTATGTAAAAACAGAAAAGATGAATATTTGAAAAGCACGTGCAAAAAGCTAGAAACGAAATTAAATTTCGCGCAAAAAATGCAATGATATGAAAGAAAAAACAAAAGTAAAGTTGTGAGCAGAAAATATATTCGTTGGCGTTTATGAAACGTTGACGAAAAACGAAGCATTAAATGAATTGTAAAAAGAAAAACGACAATAAGATAAATGCCACAAAAGGCATTGCAGAAATTTATTTAATAACTTAAGAAAATAATTTTATTATTTTGTATTAACATTTTAGTATTTTTTCCTTACTAATATGAGAATTTCGCGTAGTCGCACGAAAACAGTAATTTTTTTTTTAAATGCAACAGAATTTTAGAACCGATACTGCCAAAAGTAATTATGAGAAACAGATCAATACAGAGAGAAGGTTTAGATTAAAAAAGCAGCTACAAACGAATTCTCGTCCTCTAACGACAACTTCTTCATTAGTCGATTACAATTACATATTGATATTTTGTTATATACATACATATACACAGACATATTATAAATATAGCTAAAGACTTCCTATAAATGTTTAGGGTGTGGGTAGTAGCAACAACACTTTGTATTATAGCACAAATACACACGTAAACACAAACACACACACACTACTACTTCCTGTGTAATTTAGGAAATGAGCTCGCCTTCAAAATTGAAAACTGCCTTAATTTTCCACTACACTAAACGAACAATGCACCCAAAAACAAAACAAAAAATACTCCTTAGCAAAACGTAAGCTTAAAATGGAGCAGTGAATTTCCACAGCCAAAAAAATATAATCACAGGACAATATGTCAACGATTGTCTTTCACGGATTATATTGAAACAAAAAAGTTCAGCACATTCACACACACACAGATAGACCACAAAAAACAAATGAACTTGGGCATAGTTAAGGCTGCTCCAAAAAAAATTAATATATGAAAAACAAAAAAAAAAACTGCCACGAAGGCGTCAAAAGCGCACAAAAGATTAATGCATAGGAGAAATATTTAAGGTTTGTTTTAATTTTAAATGCAACGCCGACTAATGGAGGATTTGAACTATGACTATAACTCTACTACATACTACTATGATTAACCAATTATTTTTGTAGTTTTTTAGTCAATTAATATTAAATTGTTGTGATTGTTTTAAAATGCAAACGAAATACTTCCACTAAATAACTAATAACGCGAAAAGTATAGCAAGTACTTTAAAAAGGCAACGAATCGGCGTGTTTTCTGACCCGCGCATCCATCCAAGCACAGAACGCAGCTGTTAACGCGCCTGAAATTATGCAGCGAATTTTTTGTTTCTGGCGCCTGTTCACAGCGCGCAACTGTCGCTTGGGGGGATGCGAGATGCACGCCGCTATATTTAAATTATCTAAAATGAAGTTTTAAATTAATATTATTAAACATAAACAAAATGTATAGTCACTACTTTAAGCCGAACGTGAAATCACTTTTTTACAGTGGAAATACCATGAGAACTCGCACAACTTACACACACACCCACAGTAAGAAACCACTTGTAAATAATACAATACAGGCAAAAAATCGACGGTATTTTTAATAGCGCATTTTTGTGTATAGGTTTCTAAACTTTCAGACACTTCTGTCCAGCAATAGTAACATGCCAGAAATAAAATTATTTTCTGATTTCAATCACAAAAAAAAAAAAAAAAAAAAAAACAATCAAAATATTAAAACTTGAACACTATTTTGCTCGCAAATAACAATAAAAACTTTTATTTTTTCTTTATAAAACCGCTTAGCTTAACAAGTATCCCGCAAACAACTAGAATTAAGTTGACAAAACTTTTTGCACTGGCAGCAAATATTGATAAAGGAAACAAAAAAGAATTGTAAAAAGAAAACAATAGTTAAATTGTAATTATAATAAATTGTATTTAAAACGAAACAAGAAAAAACATATAATTTTAATCGCTTATTGTAAACTAATAAAAATTAAATGAATATAAATAAAGAAAATGTAAAAAAATATTGAAATTTGATATCGCGAAGCGAACCAGATTGCAGCATCTATCTATATATGAATCAAATCAAATGAATCAGCAAAAATGAATTTAAAAATTAAGAACTCTGCTCTTTGTATTTATTCTTGCTTATGTTCAAATCAGGCGTACCCTAACGACAGTCAGTGTACATTAATATCCATAAAAACTCTAAATCCAATTTTAAATTAAAACAGGTAGCATGATTTACATTGTGACATTTATATTCTGTTTGATGATCATATAAAAAATGTCTCACATATTGCCCGTTTACCTTGACATATGCCGCTGCAAATCTATTCCCCGTAGTCAATATCAATCAGCTTATCACAGCGTCTGCCCCGCTAAGTAATAAAAAATGCAATCATCTTTAGGCGATCACGAAAAAAAGGAACACTTAACATAAACAGCTCAAAAATTGTAGTAATATGAGAGCAGTTAGAGCTTCATTTGATTTCGGGTTCTCTTGCAATGCCCTGTGAACCATGGCTAAAGGGTAAATTTATTATGACAGCGAATGTGACAATCAAATATATAAGGAAACAGACAGGAAGTTAGAAAATACTAGCTTAAGCGAAACTTTAATGGGTTCAGAATGCTTAACTCATTCTTTGAACTTTAAAATATTATGAAAAACTAAAATTGTAGAAGTTAAGATTGCTTGAACATTCTTTCAGCCCTAAGATTACCTTCACACCATCGTATTTTTGTAAAAGGCATATGTAGGAATATATCAAATTAGACCAATTTATTAAATAACTAAAGCGATCTAAAATCTGAGCAAATTTTCTGTCCCCTGTTTTTATTTAAAAGCAGCCATAGGGTATAAAGCAGTCTATCAGCATGTAGAATACGCGGCTGCGGTTATGGTGATTGCCACAAACTGCTATCAGATGCCGCGCCGGAAAGCCCAGGCGAGCGCACAAAAAAACTAAAACCCGCAAATACTTACTCGAAACAAACGAATAAACGCCGGGTTGAGCAAACGAGAGAGAGAAAGAGAAAGAGAGCGAGCGGACCAGCGGTCGAGCAAGCCGTGAGCCGCAGGCATCCAAGCTCTAAAGCCCCAAGCGACATCAAGTGTAAACGATATTCACAAACGTGGATCAGTTGACATTTGACAGCGCGCGTGCTTGCACGTTTCTCAGGGGGCTAAACGGCTTACAGCTCTGGCGGCATTAAAGTTCGACGGCTTGACGATTGGAGAAACGTGGAGAAACGCTGGCAAACATAAATCGTGGATTTGGTGCGCTCATTAAAAACATGTTTGACACAGAAATGCGTGTTTTTGTAAAACTGCAAATAGTTTAAATTATTCAATTTGGCGAAAGGCGCATTCGGCCCACGCATTGCGTATGCGTAGCGATATCTGAGCCACCGGGTAATTGATATAGCAATCGCGTGCCAAGTGTTGATTATGCTATTACGATTATGAATTATGATTAAAATTGAAATAGAGCTTGGGCCATTGTTAGGGATGCCCACTGCAATGAGCGAAACTGAATTAAGCCAATTGCAAATAAAGTTCAATTTAAAGAACAAATAAAGTGCCACAAAATCAATGCAAATTTTTGATTATATTAATAAAATATTACAAAGCGAAGAAAATGATTTAAATAACCACTGTCATTATTACATTGACAATTATTGGTTGTTTTTGTGTTCGTGAAATTTTTTTGGCTGTTCGCGCGGATAATCAATGTCAGAAAGTGCAACAAAAAATTCAACAAATTTAATTTTTTATTTCATTGTTATTGTTTGTGTTTGCCGCTGATAAACAACAACTGAGAAAACACACAAAACGCGTACATAAAAACACGTTACGTTGTATAATGGCAAATTTTATATTTTTTTTCGCTTCCCTTGAATATTTGCTAAGTATGGACGCTGGTTTTAATTAACGCGAAAGCCGTTTGCTTAAAATGAGCCATTAAATATTTCATGAAATTATAAACTTTTATGTAGAATAGAATAACCGCAAAAAGTGTTCAGTAGATGCATTTTTAATATGTTAAAATAAATAATTTGGGAGCTTTCAATTCAATACGTTATATGAAAGGTATTGCCAGCTTATAAAGTGCCTAATCTAATCAGAACTTTATGGTAATATGGAGCTCAAGACCTGGGAATGCATTTCTTACCCATGCATCTTACCTTATAATTCGTTAAAAACAAAAAGAACACAGACAACTTTAAGGTGACGAAGTTAAAATACCCTTACAAACAATTATTAATAAATTGTGCGCGTGTTAACAACCATTTAACTGGTATAGTTGAAATTTTATTGATTTTCCCCAGCATTTCTGTCTCTTTAAGATAATCGTTAAAAATGAAATTTAAAATAGGTACACAATTTTCAAAACTTAGCTCATGCAATTCTCTGTAAGTCGCGCTCATTAAGAGCGTATAAAAATTTACATATCACATGGTCGGAAAATGGGGCTGTTCTATTACAATGAAGCCCCATAAAATGACATGTGCAATGCATACAAGTTACTTGTTGTCTGTAGTCGATAGTAGTATGTCGTTATAAGATGCGTAATTAATCATTTTGAACCCATTTCAATGACCTTTGCGCCCGCTCAAAGAGTCACTAGAGCATAGCGCCATCAGCATTGATCATCGCCAAGATCATGACATACTGCCGGAATTTATGAAAATTTTCTGAGCGGTGCGAGGTATATTTCAGCCAAAAATAAGCAAGACACTAACAGCCATAAAAAATGAAAGCCAACAATGAAATGTGGAGGGGGCTAACCTTTAAAGTGTAGCACAACCCGATAAGATACAGTTTTGTAAGTGAATTGCGAGTGACTTTGATGGGGTCTGAAGTGTGACTCGGTCAGATATGAGTGTTTATCTCTCTGTCACAATGATAAAATAAAAAGAAAACGAAGCACGGTACATGGAACATGTGCTTGTTTGTTTATATTTAAAATTCAAAAGTAAATAGCATGAGAAAAGTTAATGAATTGTTGAGACGAGATACAAAGCAAAGCGCAAAATTAATTATGAGCGATAATTTGTGCAGGTGTTTATCAAAAATTAAAGACCCAACAAAAGAAGATATTTTATATCCAAATACATACTTAAGAATTATATTGCACAGCTGGTAATATATGTAGGCATATAGCCGAATTTCTCAGCTTTTCAGGAATCTTAAAACAGTTTTGATTAATAATTAAAAATCTTAAGGTTTTTTAATATTTATTAACACAATTATATTTTGCAATATAATGTGATAGCAGATACAAACACATAAAATTTGGCAGTACAATGCATGATTAATGAAAAATCGGATTCGAGGGAGAAAAAAAATGCAAAACAAAGCTCAATCAGAAACATTTAATAAGTGCATAAAGATTTTGCTTAATAGTTATTTTTGTATTTTAAACAACGCACAAGGGGGATAAATCTCTTTAAAAGAAAGCACATACATATTTATCGATTTTAGAATTATCGAGATAGAAACTGAAGTCTCTAAATTTTAAAGTCTTCAGGATCATCGCGCTGATGCAGGCAAAGCAAAGATCGAAAGTTCTTGCAACATTTTTGATTGTGATCGACCCGATGTCAGTTAGATACAATTGCACAACATCCAAGTGTGATAAAATTTAAAATTAGATAGAGCATATAAAATACAGTGATAATAAACAAAAAGAAATATCATCTCTTGGTTTTCTCTTAATTTCATTTTATTATGATTTAAAAGCTTTAACGCGCACACAGCCACACAACAACAATCATAATAATAATGGCATTGTGATGTTCAAGGCTTTAATGTGATTTAAAAATATGACAACCGCAGCATCAGCAGTAGCGGCAGCAACAACAACAACAACAACGTACTTTATCAGCAACAAGTTTCGCGGCACCGGCTACAAATTATGAGCATTAAAATGATAAATACGCATATGAAAGCAGCATCAAATACAACAACAACAATAGCAGCCATAACAAACAAGTGCACACAACAACCACATAAGGCAAACATGATTTTATGATTGAGCCAACAATAGCAACAACAAAAATAAAACGAATTTCAGCAGCAGAGCAAGCAACACAGCAAAAGCAGCAACAGCCTAAGGCCAAAATGGCAGATAAAATTGCCCAAGATGCAAGCGCCAAGGCCCCAAAAGGCGAAGACCAGCCGCCATTGGCCAAGAGAGCCTCCTCACCCACTGCCCTTCATCTCGTGCCGAAGCGCACCACGGCAACAACTTTATCGCCGCTGCGGCTAAGTCAATTGTCGGACAGCGGCGCCGAGAGCTGCGGCGATGGGGACGAGCAGACGCGACTTATTCGCGGCCCTTCCGTGCGGCCACACAAATATATCATTATACCAGCCACGCCCGGCGCGCCGGTGACCTCGACGGCTGGAGCCCCACAGCTGCCATTTCGCCAGACAAGCTCCAGCACATCACTGGTGGCAATGGCAGCGGCAATGCACAAGCAGCCGCCACGTCAGCCCTCGGTCAAGTCGCGTCCCAACTCGGATGTCATACAGCCGGCGCAGCTGCAGCAGCAATTGCAACTGCAGCCGCTCCAACAGCCAGCGGCGTCCACATCAACGGTCACCTTTACCATTGACGATTACGATACAGCGGGTGGGAGTGCGGCTGCGGCTGCTCCAGTAATCCACCACACGCCCGCAACGCTGACCAGCACCAC